TTGCATTTGAATTTTATGTATTTAAAATTTATTTTTAATTTTTTTAAGTTTATATCTATTTTTGAGAGAGAGCGAGAGAGCGAGACAGAGTGCACAAATAGGGGAGGGGCAGAGAGAGAAGGAGACACAGAATCTGAAGCAGGCTCCAGGCTCTGAGCTGTCAGCACAGAGCCTGATGCGGGGCTCAAACCCACGAACTGGGAGTTCATGACCTGAGCCAAAGTCAGACACTTTAATCAACTGAGACACCCAGACACCCTAGAATTCTAAGTATTTTTCAATCCAAAAAGATATTGTTTTATGGAATCGAAGTTCACTTACATTTATTAACATATTCACTGTGTCTTTTTGACTCTTAGTTCTACCTTGTTTCTGATACATCCAACACCGAATTATTCTCCTCCTGCTGATGTATACCCTCTTTTAGAATTGCCTTTAATGTAGGCTTGCTGGTGGCAACACTCCGTTTGGATTTGAAAATATCCTTATTTTGGCTTCATTCTTGAAAGACATTCTTTCCAGTGATAAAATTCTAGCTCCTCAGGGGTTCTGTTTGTTCCTCAATTTAAACACCCTGCTGTGACTTAACTCCCCTGAAGCGAACCTGTCCTCTGCTGTTTCACTAAGACGGCCCTTGATTTACCCAACCGTGCTTGCGCTCCATGGGCAAGGACGGCCCATGTATTGTTGATTGTCTTCAGCTGGGGAAGATGCCCAGCTGTCATATCTCTACTCCTGATTAAATACATCCCTACGTCACTTCCCGTCTGTGATCTACTGATACCACAACCTTGGAGTGTTCCATGCGATCCCATGGATACCTGCTTCTGATCTACCTATTTTTCAGTTCACTACTTCGCCAATCTGATATGTCTAATCTATAGTTAAGCCCATCCAGTGAATTCTTAATTTAGGTTATTGTATTTTCTGGTTCTAATAATTCTGTTTCTTTTTCAAATCCAGTATTGTTATGCTTTTTAGTTCCCAGAAGATATTCTGGAGCCCTTTATATCTTTAAGCCTAACAGCCCAGTTGCTTTATAGTGTTTGTCTGATAATTCTGTATCTGGACTCTGTATTAATATGTGCTACTTCTACTGGTTCACAGTCACTGTCTGTCGGTCTGTCTTTGTGTCCTGGACACTATCCTTGAAAGATTTTTAGGAGTAAGGAACCTTCCTCCAGACAGGACTGAGGGCTGGTTTGTTTCTGGTTCACCTTATCCTGAGGATGAAGCCCTTTGGAGTCCCAGCTCCCTATTCAATTGTGAGTGCTGGGACTGTCTTGTCCTTCTTGATCCACCGATATTTCATCCGGGTATATCTGCATGTGGGTCTTTTTCATTCACTGTACCGGCTACACTGGGGTCCTAGCAGTTAGTCTTCAGGGACAATAAAATGCCTTTCAACTATTAATGTTGGTCTTTTCATTTTCTTTAATCTTCCTTTCTGAGGTTCCTGATGGTCTACGGTTGGACTTCCCGGGTGGGTCCTCCATCCATTTCTCTCCATTCCCAGCTGTCTGTCTCCCTATGCTCTAGCAGAATCTAATTTTTTTTTTACATTCTGGCAATCATTTCTAATCTTGCTCTCAAAGACTGTACTTCTTGGATGGCACTGTATTCTTTACATCTCCTGAATTCTTTATATTATCTGTTTCCTTTTATTATTTTTTTTAAGTAGGCTTCACACTCAGCATGGACCCCAATGTGAAACTTGAACTCGTGACCCTGAGATGCAGACCTGAGCTGAGATCAAGAATGGGATGCTCATCTGCCTGAGCCACCCAGGCACCCCATCTCAGTCTACTTTGAAGTGAGTTTGTCTGCTTATGTAGGTCTACCTCTTTCATTGCATTTCCACCTCCAATATGTCCAATGATGCTTGCTGTTTGTTCACATCTAGGAGTCTATTCTTATTTTAGGATGAAGAGCTGGGTATTTGGTATGTATTATATAAGGAGATGGCTTTTCTGCCCTGGCATCTCCCTGGGCAGGCATATCGCTGACAGCTGAGCAGGACTCTGCCTGCACAGACGAATTCTGTGAATAATCAGCTGCTCTTTAGGCTGCACCCTCCTGCCCCAAAAGCCAGAAGAAGGAAGGCTTTCCTTGTGTAGATCCCACCAGTCACCCCAAACCTTTAGTTCTCTCTAAACAAGTTTGCTATCTTTCTTTAGAGGTGGGCTGATGCTCTGGTTTTCTCCTATCATCCCTCCTGGGTAGACTCAACAGTTGTAAGTGATGATAAAAGCCAAGAACAATGTAAGCTTCCGGGCGTGGCCGCCACACAGCTCTCTTGGGCCCCAGTTCCTCCCAGGCAAGCTGCCAACAGATAGAAGAAGCAAGACAAAATGGACAACCCAGTCCATGTTTATGACCTGCAGCGCCCTGAACCAGGAGAGGAGAAATGATACACAGGCACCGTCCCTGGATGCTCACTGAGCACAGGTTCAATTTAACCCTTTTCTCTATAAATATCTTTTTCTTGGGACCTCATCTTTGCCCGCAACACAAGCCTTTCCCAAACTCCTCCTGAGATTCCCCTTGTAGGAGCTGGTTCAACAGCTGCTTTGCTGCTAACTAGTAACCACTCTTGTACATGTGGCAGATCTCTTACTACTGGATCGGCGTGGGAAGGGAGCTCCCCACCTGAGGCAACCAGAGGGCGGATGCACTTCAGCTCAACTCCAAGGTATCCTTGGCTGACCTCATGCCTGTAGTATTCTCCTTACTTTGCCTGTTTTTCTTTTTCTTTCTTTTTTTTTTTTTTAATGTTTTATTTATTTCTAGGAGAGAGAGAGACAGCGTGAGCAGGGGAGGGTCAGAGAGAGAGGGAGTCACAGACTGAAACAGGCTCCAGGCTCTGAGCTGGCAGTCAGCACAGAGCCCGACGCAGGGCTCGAACCCACGAACCGCGAGATCATGACCTAAGCGAAAGTTGGACGCTTAACCGACTAAGCCACCCAGGCGCCCCACTTTGCCTGTTTTTCTACCAAATCTTGGTACAGCCTCTAGACTTCCCCGAATTCACACATTCCAACCCTGATGAAGCCATGCCCCTCTTCCCACGTTACAAAGGCTCTCTCCAATCAAACACTGTGCCCTCCAATGGAGAACCATCAGAGTCAACAATCTCCATGTCCAGACTTATGCTTCACCCTCTACCCCACCGGGCAACTTGGAGCCCAAAGCCTCCCAGAAAAAGGCTGGCACAAAGGCCTTCCATCCCTACTAGTTCGTTCTCTACCACAATGCTCCTCTCCTAATTTCCCCTTACAAGAGATGTGGTGACATGTCTGCCTTTTCAACAACCATGTCTTCCATTGCCTTTGCCATTAGTGGCTTCCTTTTAAAGGTTTTCATACCTTCTATACTCACATCTAGAATACGTGGCTATGACACATCCACAGGAAAAATCATCAGCCACAGGAGTGGGGGTTTGAGGGAAATAAAAATCATGAACATGAACATAACTTCAAAAAACATTTCTTCCTCTGCTAGAATAGAAAAGTAAAGGACAGGTATGGCCCAGACCATGTGTAAGAAACACTGGGCTCCAACAGCTGGAATCACCAGCATTTACTGACGTACCAAACTGAGCACTTCACCCGCCCTAACCCATTTATTCCCCCACGTCAGCTGTCTTAGCTGAATGCCTCACCGTTAAAACAATTATTTCCTCCATTGCAAAAATGCTGTATATTCACAATAGAACACAGGTAAAATATTTTAAAACAAAACACAAAGAAAATTTAAATCGTCCATTTTGACGGTTAGTTTTACATGTCCACCTGGCTAGGCTACAGTGCCCAGTTGTCTGGTCAGACGTTAGACAGATGCTGCAACGGGGGACCTTTGGAGGTGTGATTAACTACCAGCAGCTGACTCTTGAGAAGTGGGTGGGCCCCATCCAATCAGTTGAAGGCTTTATGAGCCAAAACCGAGGGTTCCGAAAGAAGGAATTCTGCCTCAAGACTGTCACACAGAAATCCTGCCCGAGTCTGTAGCCAGCTGGCTGCCCTGTGGATTCTGGATTCCAGCCCCTATAATCGTGTGAGCCAGGTCCTTAAAATAAAATCTCTCTCTCTCTAGAAATATCTATATACACATCCTACACATATCCGTTGTTTTCCTGGAACATCCCAATTACTGAGATGCCTGTAATTTCACCTGCCAAAGAGAATTTCTGTTAATATTTTTCCATTCTTCCAGTCTTTTTTCTATGTACTTATGGCATATGTGTGTGACCGTATACATATGTGTGTGTGTATTTATACACATATGAAATAAACATAAAGACCCACACACTAGAACGATTAACTCATTCCAGTTTGCCTTGGATTTTTCCAGTTTTAGCACTAAAATTCCCATATCCTGGGAAAACCCAGGTAAACTGAGATGGTTGATCACCTTAATACACATACATACATATGCTTTCTTTCTTTTTAAATAAAAATGTCCTTTTAAATCAAATTGTGATCATTCTCTGCATACTGTATAATAACCTAATCGCTTCACTTAAAAATATATTTCTCCCTTGAGGTGCCTGGGTGGCTGAGTCGGTTGAGCATCTCTTGGTTTTGGCTCAGGCTGTGATCTCACGGTTGGTGAGTTTGAGCAGTGCAGAGCCTGCTTGGGATTCTCTCTCTCCCCCTCTCTCTGCCCCTACCTTGCTTCTGCTCTTTCTTTCCCTCTCAAAACAAACTACTTTAAATTATCTTTGGGTTCAAAACCAATAAGGATGGAATAGTAAGGGGAAAATAAATCATACACACACACACACACACACACACACACACACACACACACAGAGTGCAGAAGGCAGCCCTCGAGGACAGGCATAGTGTACATTCGTAATAAAAGATTTACCATTCTCAGTCCCAGACACCTGTGCTGGTGCGGCTAACGGACTCGGAAAAAGACTGCGTGCCCCTCTCCACTCCACCTAAAACCACACACACAGTGACACGCTCAAACTTGAAAACATACTGTCTCCTTACCTTTTTAATTCGTTTACAATCGAAGCATGGACATGCATTGCAATTTTGCCATCCAAGCGTGTTTTCAGTTCCTGGCATTCAGCATGTAAAATTTCCAACTGCTCCTTGTTTTCACGTAGCTCCTTTTCTTGGTTCTGGGTTTTAGTCTCCAGAAGCATGAGTTGTTTTGTCAGCTTAGAAACTGAAAAACAAACAAGATGGATCAAGACTTGGCAAGGAAGACTTAGGAAACCATGGTCCTTGATTCCTAGGTAACACCAAAGAGAGCCGGCTCATAAAAAATGATCATGATATAAATTTGGGGATTTATAAATTAATACCAAAGGCCTTGTACTTAGAAATTACTGCTCCTATATTAAATGTTCCCTAAATATACATTTTCTTACTGGGGCCCAATTTATTTATTATTATTATTTTTTAGCCGGTTCAATTTAGTGATATCACAGTTAATAATATATGATGTTAATGAAGACATGGTTTTAGCCTTCAAGGGACTGACTTTGCAAAGACTGAAGTCACACATGGATACGCAAGCAGAGATGTGCAACATCCATGCTGTCCCGGAAAGTGCAAGAAGTTCAACTATGAAGAGACATCGATATGGCCCAACTATGGACTGAATTTATTGCTTTTCTTCCCTTTCCTCATTAAGTTATGTTTTCTGTCCTGTATCTAAAGTAAATCGTAAATATTTTCACCCAGGGCAACACTATAGTACTTCATGATAAGATACTTCCCAGAGGGCTGTTGGAACAGGCACTTAGAAGTATTAGAGCATAAAACCTTAAATCCTTCTACTCTGTGGAAACAGTTAGCTTATCGAAATGGATAGCTCCCTCTGGGAAGCTAAGACAGGCAGCTGACTGAATCAGACAGGTCTAAAGGTTGGCCCTATTCTCCGTGACCAGAACAATCACTGCTCCTGCTCACATCGCTACATTTAAAGAAATCAAGCTCCGAACAGACAAAATTCATTTTCCCTGCCATCTCTGCTCTTGGAAACAAAGACAGGGGCTCAACAACTCTCTTTCTCCTCCACCCCAAATAATTCCAGAGTAAAGGCAAATATGTCCGTGCCACGTGGAGTCGAATGGTGAGTCCTGTGGAAGAAACGCCTATTGGACGCTCTGACAGACACTGTCACTTTTAAACATGACCTGGCTCGTGGCAACAACTGATATGCCATCTCAGTGGCTTCCGCAGCAGTGGGGGCTTTCATGCCCAGTGTGGAAAGGGCAGTCATTAAAAAATTAGAAGCATTTTCAGTAAGTTAAGCATCTGGCTCTTGATTTCAGCGTGGGAATGATCTCATAGTTTGTGAGTTCGAGCCCCAGATCGGGCTCTGCACTGACAGTGTGTAGCCTGCTTGGGATTCTCTTTCCCTCTCTTTGCGCCTCCCCACCCAAAATATATAAATAAACTTTAAAAAATTAAAAAAAAATAATCAGGAGCATTAGGGAAAACAGAAGGGAGGGTTTACAGTGCCTTACATGAGACAGCTTGTATTTTGTGTTCCTGTCCTATATTATTCTTCCTCGGGGAAAAAAAAAACAACAACCCATAAAGCCCAGGGGGAAAATGCTGCTACCTTTTGTGCTCGTATATTTGGGGTTTAACCAAAATTGAAGAAATGTCTCAGTCTGGCCCACTTCAAGTCCAAGGCCATGTGCTACAGGGCTCGTAGGGACAGGGAGGGACACATGGGGAGAGGGGGTGCTCACAGAAGGTATGGGAGGGAGAGACAGCCCATAACAGCACCCACAGCTCTGACGGAAGGGCAAGGGCACACAGAGACCATTCAGAGTGAATGAGCGCTCCTTCTTTTACTCAGGTAACAAACATTCAACAACAGAGCCTCGCACTGTTTCAGACACTCACCTCCCGAGACGTTCCCCTCTTACACGGCACTAGCTCCCCCAAACCCAGCTCTTCGGGCCCCAAAGGGGTTGCTTACATTTGCGTTACAAGATATACAGGGTAACTGGAAGGGCGCTGTGAAGCCTAAGAGAAGGCAATCAATGCGGTAATGGTTGGAAATGTTGTAACATAAACGGCTGCATTTCAGTAAAAAGGAACACTTTCTAGAACACGTGATTTCCCCCATTTATAATTTGAGGGGGTCTCCATTAGGAGGGGGCGGTGCAAGTGTAAAATGATACAACGGTGACATCACAGCCTCATCCTTGCTTGCTGGGAAGATGGCTCACCTTCCTGGAGACGCTCCTGGTGGGTGTCCTTGACTTTTCTTTGCTGAATCTCCAACTGCTCTATCAGCAACTTGTTTTCCTCTAAAACCAGTTCTGCCTGAGTCTGAAGCTGATGCCTGCAATTGATTTGCAAAGTTAAATACTGCCATTCAGGTACTGAATGATTACAGAGACCCTCCAGAGTCCCAAAGAAAGCAAGCGAGGGGTTCCTGGGGGGCTCGGTCAGCAAAGCGTCTGACTGCGGTTCATGAGTTTGAAGCCCGCGTTGGGCTCTGTGCTGACAGCTCAGAGCCCAGAGCCTCATTCAGATTCTGTGTGTCTCTCTCGGCCCCTCCCCTTCTTGTGCTCTCTCTCTCTCTCTCAAAAATAAATAAAAACATGTAAAAAATTTTTTAAAAAAAGCAAGCAACTGAGGTGTAGGTAATGAATATCAGGACAAGCTTCGGTACTAAACATGTTCTAAACATAGTTAATCCTACCCCTCACATTAAACTGAGGGAAAGGACAGCCATAAAGTCTGAATTATGAACTGCTTCAGTAAGTTTTTAAAATGTAATGTTTCAAACATATACAGAAGTAGAGAAGAATCAGATAATAAACTCTCATGTACACAACACCCACTTGGAACAATTATCAAATGGCCAATGTTGTTTCATCTATATAAACCTCCAGTCCCAAAACCCCCTGGATTATTTTGAAACCAGTAGGTAATTAGAACTTAGGAAGAATTTAGAAAGTTCCCATTCTTTGTTTTGTTTTGAAAGAGAGAGAGAGAGAGAGGAGCCAAGGGGAGAGGGGAAGAAGAGGAAGGGAGAGAGAGAGAGAGAGACACAGAGAGAGATAGAGAGAGACAGAGAGAGAGAGAGAGAGAGAGAGAGAGAGAATCTCAAGCAGGATCCATGCTCAGCATAGAGCCCAACTCAGGGCTTGATCCCATGATGCTGGGATCGCAACCTGAGCAGAAATCAAGCGCCAACGCTTAGCTGACTCAGCCACACAGGCTCCCCAGAAGTTTCCATTTTAATTGAGAAGTACTCACTTATAATCAATAGCACATTTGTCCCCAAACAATACTCTTAAAAGCCTCTGGCTGGTTTCTTAAACCATACTGAGTACTAAAAGTCCCCAGTCTTATCTCATATGAGCAAACCCTTCCCTTATAGAGGGTGCAAAGTAAATCCCAGCCCAGCTCACCTTCATGATTGAAAATTCCAATCAGAATGAGCTAAGGGAGCCTTAGAAATCTGGTTAAATGCTTCCCATTCAAAGCAAATGGTAAACCAGTAAATTATCTCAATTTTTCACTTCAAGCTCAAAAAGGGAAGTGGAGGAAGGAGAGAAAAAGCTGAAAGGAGTCGAGCTATAGCAATGACCTCACTCCAATAGTGGCTGCACATGGGCTCCTCGGCACCCATGATGGGGAGCTGCCCTGCTGTCTGGGAGGGACGGAGCCCCCCCTCCCCTACCCGCACAGACCAGCCCCACTTCCTCCTGTTTACACTGTGGACTTTCTCAGGACTTCCTTTCTTCCTCCCTCTTCTCTTCTTCTTTCCCTACTTGCTTCCCTCCCTCCTCTCTTTCCCTTCCACCATTCCTTCTGTCTTTCCTTTCTCTTTAAAATAAAAGGGATTCTCCTATTTCTTAAAAAAAATATAGTTAAGACCACAGATTTAGTTTAATACTCCCTCCCATTTTAGAGGTAAACTGAGGCCCATGAAGCATGAGGTATCCCAGTCAGGAAATGAAATGCAGAGTTTACTTGTGGCCCAGATGTTCATGGAGAAATTATGTGAAACTAAGGAGATAGCTTCTACTGAAGTGTGAAGTAGGTGTGCCCGAGTCTCTGGTGGGGGAGTCCCGCACCTGACACCCGTGTGGGGACAGGGCACAGCGGCCAGGGAGGTCGGGGGAGGCCATGAGCTCCAGGGGAGCAGGGGCGGCAGGAGATCTGCCCACAGGACCCCTCCCCCAGGGGGAGACCTAGCGTCTCCCCACCCACAGCACGGACCACCACACCAGAGCAGGGCGCCAAGCGCGAAGTGCACGTGTGGGTTTGAAAGTGGGATCTTTCTTCTCTTTTGTTCATTTATCTGGTTGTAAGGAGCAGGAACCAGGTTTGACCTGCATTTACATACAAGGTCAGAGGAAGAATACCGGTTCTCTCAAGGGCTCTTGTAAGCAGTCTAACTGACCTGCTTTCCAGGGTGCTATTCAGGGGAAGGCTGAGGGGGGCACACTAGGAGCCCCAACAGAAGAAAAGCCAAGTTCAACAGGGGAAACCACAGTGCACCAGGATCCAGTAGCTGCCCAGGCCAAACCCAACTGACACATCAAAGGCCGTCACATCTGGGAGAACCCACCTAATGGTAGGAATACTATGGACTCTTCCTCCAAATTCTTGGACATCACATATGGAAAATACTTTAATTTTTTTCAGGGATGTTGAAACATTTAAAAATTGCTAAGTCTAACACAGAAAAAGATCTGTGTGAATAGCTTTAGCTTTCTTAGTCTTGCCTAGATATTGCCTTTAGCCTTTTTAAGACATTTACTTTCACGTATTCATTGACTAGGCATGTGTTGCTGCTGTCCTGATGACCAGGACATGGCCTTGCCCATGAAGAGCTCACCAAGGAGAACAGGTAAGGCCAATGTGGAGACCCACAGGTAGGCAGAGCATGACAGATACCAGGACAGGGCATGTGTTCAGGGCTGAGTCAGAAACTGAGACAAGGGAGCAATGAAAGCATTCTGCCTCCAGGGGGCGCTGCTGACCAGCATCATTTGATCAGGGCCATTGGAACAGTGCAGGAGGGGCATTCTGGGCGAGGCAGCAGCAGCAGCAAGATAGAGTGAGGCAACCCTCAACTGTCAAAGAATGTAAGGCCACAGAAAGGGCCAGGACGGACGGGAGCTAGTTGTACAGAGCCCCATCCTGAGCCTGCTGGGCTAAAGCCCCGAGAACAGTCACTGGGGCAAAAAGGATGTGACTCAACAGGTTTGAAATGGGAAAACGGTCCTAGAGAAATACAACATCAGAACATAAAAAGGGGGAGAGAGTAGATGGACTTCAGACTTAAAAACCTACTTAAATTTTATTTTAGTTTTAAAAATTTATTTATTTTGAGAGAGTAAGAAAGTGTGTGCACGCACATGCACACATATGCACGCATGTGAGGAGGGGAGCGACAGAGAGACGGGGAGAGAATCCCAGGCAGGCCCTGTGCTCTCTGCGCAGAGCCCGACTCAGGGCTTGATCTCACGGAACCATGAGATAGTGACCTGAACCGAAATCAAGAGTCCGACGCTTAACCTACTGAGCCACCCAGGTACGCTGTAAAAACCTATTTAGAACTGTAAACATAATCTTTAAAATACAAGTTTAGAATAGTTCACATTTTCACTGTACCTTATTAACTGCTTAGACACTCTCCCTGAAAATATTTTAGTTAAAAAAGAAAACGTCTTTGGTGATTGAATAAAGTTGATTCCTTCTATCTCGGTTCCTTCCGAGCTAGCAGAATATACCAGAAACAGCAGCAGCACTTGCCATTCCTCGCTGGTTACAGGACTGCCCTTATGTAGCTCCTGATGCAATTCTTCATTTTCTTTCACCACTTCCTGGACTCTCATCCTGAACATCCGCATTTCCTCCTGAAATAAAACGTATGTAAACTATAACACACACAAGCACACGTGGCGCGATTTCTTAGCCTTAGTGCTGTCACTGTGGCTCAAGTCAAAGGTCAGCAGCTTTCTAGCACAGTCTCACAGCAACAAATGCCTTAAGCTTGGCAGCAGCACCAGCTGCCTGCCCTCAGGGAGCTCCCAGTCTGGCGGGAACTGGGACCCAACCACGATGGTGAGTACAAGGGACAGAGAACCTCAGGTTTTAAACATTCAATTCCTGGGGTGCCTGGGTGGCTCAGTTGGTTAAGCGGCCGGCTTCGGCTCAGGTCATGGTCTTGCGTTTCGTGAGTTTAAGCCCCGCATCGGGCTCTGGGCTAACAGCTCAGAGACTGGAGCCTGTTTCAGATTCTGTGTCTCCCTCTCTCTCTGCCCCTCCCCTGCTCATGCTCTATCTCTCTGTCTCTCAAAAATAAACAAACATTTAAAAATTTAAAAAAAAACCTGAATCAATTTTTAAAAAACCAAATCAATTCCTGATTTGATAACATTTTTCTATCAGTGCAAAAAGTCGGGGGGAAACCGGGGGGGGGGCAGGACAAAAGAAAAAGCAGGGATGCCTGTGAACACTGTAATTTTTCCTTTGTTTAAAGATTTTGGAGGATAAGTTGGAAATTTTTAGATAAAAGAACTTTTCATCTGAATTAAAGGATAGGGGTTGGAGTCTCCTAATTTTTTTTAATGTTTATTTATTGTTTTAGAGACAAGGAGAGCGTGAGTGGGGAATGGGCAGAGAGAGAGAGGGAGACAGAGGATCCGAAGAAGGGTCTGAGCTGTCAGCACATTGCCCGATGTGGGGCTCGAACCCACAAGCCATGAGATCATGATCTGAGCTGAAGTAGCTCAACCGACTGAGCCACCCACGTGTCCTTTATGATCATGAGAAAGCCTCTCCTATGTGAAGCCATCAGTCAGGACAGTCTATCCGTCATTAGCCCACTGAGGACTGCTGTGGGGTCCGCTTTTGCCTCCTGACACCATGTTCGCGGCACTCGGGCTGGGCCTCCTCCGTCACTGCTTTTCTCAGCCAGCCCTCAGTCGGCTTCAGTGTCTTGTGCCGGCCTTCAGCACAAGAGCATCTCAGGTGCCAGTGTTCATTCCTCTCCCAGCTATTAGACATTTATGCTTATACCTGTTTAACTTAACCGTGCCAAGTAGCTTCTCTTTTTTACCTTTCTGTCCAAACACACTCCCTAAGTGCTGACAGCTCTTTTACAGAACAGGGATCAGGCACACAAAAGCCTCCAAGCCAGCTGCCTGTTCTGTAAATAAAGTTTTATTGGAACATAGTCACGCCCACTCGTCTGCACTTTGTCTACAGCTGCTTTCATCCTACCACAGCAGAGCTGAGGACTTGCAGAGGCCACATGGCCTGCAAAGCCTAAAATATTTACTAAATGGCTATTTACAAAGAATGTTTCTAGACCCCTGTTTTAGAAGGAGCACCAAATTAATTCCGTTAATTGTCTGGCTTGATAGTTAATTAGTATACGATTAATTCACCCCTGGGGCACGAGGTGTCTCAGTTGGTTAAGCATCCAACTCTTGATTTCGGCTCAGGTCATGATCTCAGGGTTTGTGAGATCAAGCCCCCATGTAGGGCTCTGCACTGAGAGCATGGAGCCTGCTTGGGATTCTCTTCCTCTCTCTCTGCCCCTCCTGGGCTTGTGTGAGTGTGCGCATGCTCTCTCTCTCTCTCAAAAAAAAAAAAGTTCACCCTCTTACAAAATTAAGTTTCCAACATGAAGTCTAGAAGAAAAGGTTCAAGACTGTATTATGTGGACCATGTACATGGGACAGTATAACAAGGAAGGCTGGGTGACTTAACAGCCCCTCCCAGCCCAAGTCCAGAAAACCCAAATTTTCTCTCTGGATCCTTCCAACTCCAGAGATCTCTTTGGTCACTTAAATGAGCAGCACGGAAAGGATGGGACCCATCTATAACACCCACATAGCCTTGGCCGCCAGCGTAATGACAGTGGGCTCGGCTGCCAGAGGCCATTCCCACGACAGAGCTGAGCAAGGCAGAAACGGACAAACACCTGCTTCCTTACCACCGCCAACAGAGCCAGACTCCCCTGGGGTCTGCTCTTCAGGGAGCTAAGAAGCATGTAAGTCGGCCTAACATATCGCTGGCCTACCATCCCCACGTCTGCCCGAGGTCCCCTCTGCAGTGGAGTTCGCGGCAGCAGGGAGCCAGGACGGGAGTGGCCCCTGCTGCACAGCCAGAGCCCGCCCACCCGGTGCTGCCTGGCCTGGGAGTCGGGGCTTTGGATGCAGCACATCCCATCCCTCCACACCCCTGCTCCCCCCCCNCCCCCCCCCCCCCCCCCCCCCCCCCCCCCCCCGTGCGCCCCTCCTGCCCCACCGATCCCTCCCTCCCTCCTTCCTCCTCCCCCACCCACCTGCACCACCACACTCCTTCCTTCCTTCCCTCCCTCCCTCCAGCATCTGAATACCCATAGATGTTGGGCATGCCTATCTTCAAAATGTTTCTTCAAAGTCTGATTTTTTATAAACCTTGTCCTGAGACACTTGCCAGCCTACCTGGAGGGTGGCATTGAGCTCATCCTTCTCTTTCATCCTGTCTTCATAGGCCAGTAACAAGGGCGACAGGTACTTCCTATTCAACTGAACATAATGGGACAAAGAAGGTTAGCATAGGTCTTTCATCTGAACACAACTGGCACACATTTAAAAAGGTAACAAAATCCACTTAATTTGGAATGGTTTTTAATAGCTAGTCCATGATACCCCAGAGACGTGGGCCTGAAATGGAGTAACTTTCACTTACCAACCACGGTGGTGTCGGGCCCTTTGATGGGAGGCCATCGATATTTAACGTCTAAGAACAAAGCACATGGTGAAGGCAAGTTAAACTACTCTTCCTCTGTCTGATATTTCAAGCCTTAGATATGTTTTTAAATTAAGTTTCAAATTTCAGGTCTAGTATAGATAACAAGCAGTGCTTCAGGTGTACGATGTAGTGACTCAGCACTTCCATACGCCACCCAGTGCTCATCCCGACACGTGCCCCCCTTAGTCCCCATCGCCCTTCTCCCCCCCCACCCAGCCCCCACCCCACCCCCTTCCCTCAGTTTCTTCTCTGTAGTTAAATGTCTGTTTCTTGGTTTGTCTCTCTCTTTTTTTTCCCTTTTGCTTATTTGTTTTGTCTCTTAAATAACACATATGAGTGAGATCATATAGTATTTGTCTTTCTGTGACTTACTTTGCTTAGCATTATACTCCTTAGCTCCATCCATGTTCTTGCAAATAGGCCTTAGATATTCTTATTCTAGAACAGGCATCAGCAATCTATGCATCTATATGTACGTATATGCATGTAGGTACAAATGACCAATTTTTTTCTGAAATGTTTGAGAGCAATTTGCAGATATAATACCCCTTTTCCTCTAAATACTCCAGTGTATATTTCCTAAAAACAAACATTCATTTACTCAGCCACAGTAACTTCATAAAAATCAGGAAAGCGGGGGAAGTGCCTGGGTGGCTCAGCTGATTAAGCATCCAACTCAATTCAGCTCAGGTCACGGTCTCACAGTTCGTGAGTTCGAGCCCTGCATTGGGCTCTGCGCTGACAGCATGGAGCCTACTTGGGATTCTCTCTCTCTCCCCCCGTCTCTCTCTGCCCCTCCCCCACTCATGCTCGAGTACACACGTGAGAGTTAACATTATGCTATATGAAAGAAGTTGGTTGAAAAAGATCATGTTGTATGATTTCGTTTATATGAGATGTTCACAACCGGCAAATTCATAGACACAGAAAGAACAGGGGCCCATGCAAGTGGTGGGGGAATGTGGGCAGTGCTTGCTAACAGGTAGGAAACTTCCTGTTGTGATGAACATGCCCCAAAATTGACTGTAGTGATTGTTGCGTGATTCTGTGAAGACACTAAGAATCGCTGACTTGTACACTTCATTTTTTAAAAAATATTTTATTTTTAAGTAACTCTATACCCAACAGGGGGCTTGAACTTACAATCCTAAGATCAAGAGCTTCATGCTCACTACTGACTGTGCCAGCCAGACACCCCTGAACTGTACACTTTAAATTGGCGAACTGGATAGTATGTGAATCTCAAAACTGTTAGTAAACAATTTAAACCTAAGTCTTACTTTAAAAAGAAAACCAGGGCGCCTCGGTGGCTCAGTGGATTAAGTGTCCAACTTCGGCTCAGGTCATGATCTCACAGTTTCTGAGTTCAAGCCCTGCACTGGGCTCTGTGCTGATAGTGCAGAGCCTGCTTTGGATCCTCCATCTCCCTCTGTCTCTGCCTCTCCCCTGTGCTCTCTCTCTCTCTCAAAAATAAACATCTAAAAAATTAAAAAACAAACAAACTCAGAAGCTTGTGGAGCTGCCCTGAATTCTCAGGAACCACATGAGAACAGGTGTCCCCCTGATCCCAGCAGGGGCCAGTCAGCTGTGCATCCTGACATGTCACACCCCCCAGCCCAACCTCACACACCCCTCACACACGCTACTCTCTATGGACAAGGACTTGACCTTCTGGCTCCTCTTGCTATTCTTCACAACATCTAACACAGTGCCTTGCTCAGTGAGTTTATCATCTGAATTCTGTCATCCTTCTGTTAAAGTAAAAACGAGTCTGTTTTCTTCACTCTTTCTGTATGCCTACATTGTGAAAACATTCCCACCCCCAAGCTAATTACACACCCATCACCTCATATATTTACCTTTTTTTAAGGAAAACACAAGTTCTATTCTCTTAGAAAATTTCACTTACGTAACACAGCATTATCAACGGTAATCATTATGTTATACATTAATCCTTAGATCTTACTCAGCTTATAATTGAAAGTTTATACCCCAGCCTCTCCCATTTCCTCCAGCCCCCAGCCCATTGCAACTACCACTCTACTGTTTCTGTAAGTTTGACTTGCTTTTTTTCTTTTTCAAGATTCCACATCAAAGTCATACTATGCATTATGTGTCTGTCTTAATTCACTTAGCATCTCCATGTTCATCTATATTGTTGCAAATAGCAGCACTACTGTCTCTTTTAAGGCTGAATAATATTCCATCATATGATATTGTATTGTATTGTACTTTGAGAGTGAGAGAGAGGGCATGAGCTAGGAAGAGGGACAGAGGGAGAGAGAGAAAGAATCCCAAGCTGGCCTCATGCACAGTGTGGAGCTGGCATGGGGTTCAATCCCATGACCCAGGAATCATGACCTGAGCCCAAATCAAGAGTAAGATACATAGATCTCTCTCTCTCACACACACACACATTTTTGCATATACATCACATTTTCTGTATCCACTTATCTGCTGAGACACGTAAGCTGTGTCCATATCTTGGCTATTGTGAACAATGCTTCAACGAACATAAAAATACAGACATCTCCTCGAGACAGTGAGCTCGTTTCCTTTGTACCTATACCCAAAAGTAGAACTGCTGAATCATATAGTGGCTCTATTTTTTATTTCTTGAGGAACTTCCATACTGCCCTCCACAGTGGCTGCACATATTAAAATCTGACAGTGCATGAGGGTTCCCTTTTCTCCACACCCCCACCCACACTTGCTGTCTTTAGTCTTTTTAATAATAGACATGCTAACGGCGAGGGGATAGCTTATTAGACTTTAATTTGCATTTCCCTGCCAATGAGTGATGCTGAGCACCTATTGGTCACTCGTAGATCTTCTTTGGAAAAATGGCTATTTAGGTCCCTTGCTCATTTTTAGATTATTTATTTTTGTGCTATTGAGTTGTAGGGGTTCCTTGTATTTGGGGGGCATTAATCCCTTACTCAGCACATGGCTGCACATATTTTCTCTCATTCCATAGGCTGCCTTTTCTTTTTGTTGATGGTTTCCTTTGCTGAGAAGTTTGATGTTGCCCCACTGGTTTATTTCTGCTTTCGGTGCCTTTGTTTTTGGTGTCAAATCCAAAAAACCATCACCAAGAGTGATGTCAAGGAGTTTTATGATTTCAGGGCTTATGCTCAAGTCCTTAATTCACTTAGAGTTGATTTTGGGGTGTGGTGTAAGACAGGGGTCTGGTTTCATTCTTTTGCATGTGGACACCCAGGTCTTCCAATTATTTATTGAAGAGAATGTCCTCTCGTCATAGTACATTCTTGGCTCCGTTGTCAAAAATAAACTGAGCATATTTATACGCAGATTTATTTCTAGGCCCTCAGCTCTGTTCCATTGGTCTATGTACCATACTGTTTTGATTCCTATGGCTTTGTAACAGCTTAAAAGCAGGAGGTGTGATGTCTCCAGCTCTCATTCTCCTTTCTCAAGATTGCTTCGGCTCTTGAGGGTCTTTTGTGATTCCACACAAATTTTAGGGTTGTTTTATCTATTTCTGTCAATAATGCCATCAGAATTTTGAAAGGCACTGTGCGGGATCTGTAGATTACTTCGGCTACTATGGACACCTGAACTATTAATTCTTCCAATCTATAAGCACAGAGAGTCTTTCTATTTATTTGTGTCTTTCATTTCTTTCATCTGTGTTTTAAGGTTTTTGGTTACAGACCTTTCACCTCCTCTGTACATTTTTTCCATAGCATTTTATTCTTTTTGATGCTACTGTAAATGGGATTTTAAAAAATTCTTCTTCCGAAAAGTTTGTTGTGTCTAGAAACACAGCTGATTTTTGTCTATTTTTGTATTGATTTTGCAAATTTACTGAATTCAATTATTAGTTCTTTTATGTGTATTATTATTATGAATTTTCCTCTTTATTTTACCTAAGAAGTAGTAGCTTTAAGGTCAGTTTAGTGGTGTTGAACCCCTTCAGCTTATGCTTGTCTGGAAAATTCTTTGTCCAGCTTTATCAGGTAGAACATTCTTGGTTGGCAGATTTTGTTTTGTTTTGTTTGTGAATACGCTGTGCTACCCTCTCTTGGCCTGCAAAGTTTCTGCTGAAAAATATGCTGATATTCTTATGGGTGTTCCCTTGTGTGTAATGAGTTTTATTTCTCTTGCTGTTTTTAAGATTCTGTCCTTGTCTTTAACTTTTGACAAATTGATTATAACGTGTTTTGAGTGGGTGTTTTTGGAACTCTCTGAACCTCCTAGATCTGGCTGTCTTTCCTTCCCCAGGTTAGGGAAGTTTTCAGCTAGTATTTAAATAAGCTTTCTGGCCCTTTCTCTCCTCCTTCTGGGACCCCCGGACTCCACTTGATAGTGTCCCATCACTCTTTTTCATTTTCTTGCTTCTCTGACAGGAAGAATCACTGCCATGTCTTCACCTTCACCGATTCTTTCTCCCACTTGCTCCAGTTTGTTGCTGAACTCCTCTGTTGATGTTCAGTTACTGCAGTCTTCAGCTCTATTCTTTCTGTCTGGTATGTTTACATTTTCGTCTATTTCTTTGTTGAAATGCTCACTTTGTTCATGCTCTCTGGACTGCAGTGAGTATCTTTATCACTGTTATTTTTTAATTTTTATTTTTTTTTAATTTTTAGGTTTATTTATTTTTGAGAGTGAGCAGGGGAGAAGAGACAGAGAGTGAGACAAAGAATTTGAAGCGGGCTCCAGGCTCTGAGCTCTCAGCACGGGGCCCAATGTGGGGCTCAAACTCACAGACTAAGATCATGACCCGAGCTAAAGTCAGACATTCAACTGACTGAGCCACCCAGGCACCCCATCACTGTTATTTTGAACTCTCTATTGAGTAAATCACTTACCTGTATTTCATTAAAATCAGTTTCTGATCTTTTTGTTTGGAATATATTCCCTTTTTCCTGCATTTTCCTGGACTCTCTGTGGTGGTTGTTGTATGTTAGGAAACACAGCCTACCTCTCCCAATTTTGACAGACCGGTTTTGTAGAAGAGATGAGTCTCATCAATCAGCTTGGCCAGAGCTCCTGGCTGCCTCTCAAGCCTCTGTGATTGTCTAAACTACTGTCTGGGTTCTTAGTAGCTCCCAGTGGTTGAGGACGTACCAAGACTCATCAGTTTCCCAAAAGGGGAGGCTGTATTTAGCACCTGGATGCAGGCTGATTGGAAGCCAGACCTCAGGCAGCAGCTGGGAAAGTATGCAGTCAAAGCCCTTCCAGGGAAAAAGTAGGAGGTCAGGTTTTGGCTGCTCCCCCTGTGCCGACCCCAGGCTGCAGCTGCACCTGCATGCACCACACCTGTTTCCAAACTGTTTCTCTGTTTGCTAGCCCCGTGGGAATCGCAAACTCAAGTCCCATTGGCTATAAAAGCCAGGTGATTTGCGGGACCTGTGAAAACTAGTCTGCTTTCTTTCCCAAGTTTGTACGCTAACAAACAATAGCTATGCCCTCGAGGAACAGGACTGAGGATGGGGCCAGCGACATGGATTCTTACTCCTTTATATACTTTGGTATAGTCTCCAAATTTTCTTTACAAAGAACCTTTATGGCTTTTGTTTTGAGAAAAGGAAGGGGGAGGGGTTAAGGAAGGGCAGAAGGGAGGATGCAGAAAGGTCCCCAGAAAGACTGTGATTTGGATGTGTCGTTTTATACAAATAATAAATATGAACCCTTCAAGACTGGGAAGCAATTCAACAGCAGAGGCTAAAAGAAAAAAAAAAAATCAGAAAACTGCTATTTTAAAATTGAAAACATTACCTCTTCCTTGGATAAATGCCTGAATTTTGTCTGATATCTACTCAGTTCTACATTCAAACGATGGACAGTCATTTTCAACCCATCATTTTCGTCCACTAGTTCTTGAGCCTGTTTTCTTAGATAAAGTAGTTCAGGTGCAGCACCTATGGGGGAAAAAAGAATTTAATATTAAAAGAACTTACATCAAATTGATCACAATTTTATATAAATTACTATCATCTGCTCTTTTTTCCCTATTAGGCTCACAGAGGCAGTCGAAGACAGATATATAGATATTAGTGAATAAAAGTTACGAAGTTTTTTAAACACTGAATAGTAACGGTGTTTTGGAAGTTTATGCATGTGCAATAAAATTAAAATGAAATAGTAAGATTTGAAAGAAAAAGTCACCGTTTCAGATGATATACAGTTTCAGATGATATACCCAAAATAAATGGAAAATTTATTAGAACTAATAACCTTCCCATAGAATAGTAATATCCTATTAGAAAACATAACAGAAAATAGATTCCAGGGGAATCTGGCTGGCTCAGCTGGTTGAGCGTCCAACTTTTAATTTTCATTCAGGTCATGATATGACAGTTGTGAGATCAAGCCCTGAAGATTACACCCCCCTCTTTCTGCCCCTCTTTCCTGTTTATGCTCTCTTGCTCTCCCTCTCAAAAGACAAACAAACAAACAAAAAGAAAACAAATTCCACAAAGTAACAGCACAAATAATATAAAGCTACAGAAATAAATATGTGTCAGGGAACGCTTGAGTGCCTCAGTCCAAATCTTTTTTTTTTATGTTTATTTTTGAGAGAGAGAGAGAGAGAGAGAGAGAGAATGAGTGGGGGAGGGGCACAAAGATGGGGGGTGGGGGGGACAGAATCTGAAGGAGGCTCCAGGCTCTGAGCTGTCTGCAGAGTCTAAGGAGGGGCTTGAACTCTTGAATTGTGAGATTATGACCTGAGCAGAAATCGGACGCTTAACCAACTGAGCCACCCAGATGTCCCTGGCTCAGTCCAACTCGATCTTGGCTCAGTTACTATCTCACAGTTGTGAGTTTGAGCCCCACATTGGGCTCTGCACTGAAAGTGAAGAGTCTGCTTGGGATTCTCCCTCTCTCTCTCTGCCTCTTCTGAGCTGACGTGCTCTTTCTCTCTTTTGAAATAAATACATAAACTTAAAAACAAAGAACTTCAAGTATTATAATACAATAAAAACATTAACATCAGCAAATATTATACAACATAAAATAGTACAACAAATAACATGAAAATCAGTGGATTCTTGTTTGCTCCTTTAATAAAAGAACAGTGTAGTGGCCCCCACCTTCCTGAGAGGATGCTTTCTCTGCCTCTTTCAACTTTTGATTTTCTTTTTTTGTTCTTTTCAGTCTTAACTGTAGTTCTTTCATTGCTTGTTTTACTATGCTAAGTTCAAGAGTGAGGGTTTGATTCGCGTCTCTGAGATGCAAGTTTTCTTCTCTTATTTCCTGGACCGGCTCTTTGGTTATTTCTAAACATCTCTGCCGTGCTCTACCGGTTATATCTGGAAACGTACAGGGAAAAAGGTTTTTTTAAATACTAATTTTTACAGTTTTACATCAAAATTATAAGAGACTTTATTTCAAAAGCCATGTGAGTCACTTCTTCCTGTCCAGCCTCATGTTACGTTCCTCAGTCCCTACAAAGAGAGCGGCCTATACCAGAAAGAGTGGGTGGCCTGTTGAGGCCACAGTGAGCCACAGGGAGAGACACAGGAGCCGAGGGAGGCCCTTGCATATCATAATATGTGAAGGGGGGGCTCTGTCCTGAAGGCCACCAGGAGCCAGAAAAGGTTTTCAGGCAGAGGTGTGAAAAGGAAGAGGCTCCACTCTCACATGAGCCCCTGGGGCCAGCAGTGAAGAAAGTGAACGGGAATGAGGCGCAGCCCAGAGACAGGGAGGCCAGAGGTAGAGGCCCTCCGAGTGGGGGCAGAGAGCAAGGGACACGAGAGAGAGCAGCGGGCAGTGAGGGCAAATCAAGGAGGGCTACCAAGACCTGTGGTCTGGAAGACACTCGGCCCAACAAGGCGCGCAGGCGCAGCGGGGGAAGGCGAGCTCGGTTTAGCACACAGGCTCTGCTCGGAAGGTGGCCTCAGCTGGAGCCACCAGCATGTGGGCACCGCGGAGAGGAGGAGCCAGAGGTCACAAAGGATTTTCAGGATTAGCGAGAGAGACTGGGGGAGAGGATGGAGCCAGGTTCTGTGCAGACAGACGCTCGCAGAGGTCACAGGAGGTGAGGCCTGCAGTGTGCCCCCTGGCCTGGCACCTGCCCCCGAGCCTGCCCCCCAAGAACGGAGGTAGAGGCTAGAGGCCGAAGCAGAGCTCGGGGGGTGGGCAGACAAGGGTGGGAGGGCACCCACCCCAGGGGGCCGGCCAGGGCTAGCGGAAGGACCGGGGGCTCTAGATAGCCTCCCTGACCCCTGACACACACATATCCAGTCACTAGAACATGAAAGGGAAGCCTAAGAAATGAATAACCCCGCAGCTGCACTGAAAACAAGAGGGCAACTCGGAGGCATCCGGAAAGAAAACACTGGAGACTGGATTGCGGGTGGGAGCTACAGCGGAAAGCACGCCAGGAGAGGTCAGCAAGGACAGGTGGGGTGCTTCCGGCCCGTGCCTTGCCCTGGCAGGCGGTACGGACACAGAGTGGCCCCCATTTGCACGCACCGGCCTCCCAGTGTCTGAGCACATCCCAAGGGGACATCCATCCCCCCACTGAGTGTCTTTTCAACACAAGCCCCTGCTCCCCAAATGCAGTAAATGTTACAGAAGCAACAGCCTGTATGGGGTGGGGGAGGGGAGGGAAGGGACTTTTATTTTAGACAAGATAATTCTGGGTAATCTCCAAAATAATAAGTTGTTCATCATAATTAAATTTAAAAGGCAAATACCTGGGGAGGGTGGAGGCTTTTCACATAACGGTCGTTTTTCATCCTAAGGAAGGAAAAACAGTACTGAATGAAAAGTCTCAATACCTTCTGAACACAGACTGGCACGAGCAGCTCAGTCTTTGTGTATCAACTAATTAAATACGCTTCTTTCCCTTCACTTTGGCTCTTGGAGTTCGTAGCCTGCTGCAGCTTTAGAAACCCTAATATCCGTTGTTTCTTTTAATTGAATCTTACACCTTAAGGGTCTTCCCCTGCTGGGGTCTCCTGTGGGGGGCAGTAAAGGAGGTCCTGTTCAGGCCACTGTGTTTTCACACGTACGTCTCACAAGGGACAGGCCATCAGTTCAAGTTCGGAAGCACGAAGCACACACGAGATGGGGCTCTGGGTGCCAAGCCGTTGGAGTGAACTCTAACGGGGCTCTTCTTCCTTGGGATAAACTAAAAGACCCCATAGGCTGCAGAGAAGCACATTTCCAAAGTGCTGAGAAAAGCATCTGATTTTCCTTTTCGACCCAAAATTTAGAGGAAAGGGAAGGCTTTGACCTTTTGTTCATTTTTCCATTGCACATCGATCTGACATTAAGTTTCTAATTTCTGCCGAAAAGGTAGATAGGGTTATATATGCACGCTACGGAGAAATCTTTAATTTTTAAATTCCTATGACATCGTAGGATTAAAACCCAAGTTAAAAGTATTTCCAGGTTTGTAAAAAACAAGGAAAGAAAACCCTATTTCCATGCTTGCAAATTTGTTATTATTTATTCATTCCTAACCTCTTGCTTTTAAACTAGAGAAAATATGAGTTTCTTCAGGTTTTAAAAGTATTAAAAAATAAAACATTTAATGGGAAAGGGATTCTTAAGGGAAGTTCCCCCCCCGCCCAATCACAAAAGTTATTTAAAATTATGGTGGGAATTCTATTTATTGCGAAAACTGGTTTTTAAAAAGATGAATCTTACCTTTAAATTCAGAACCGAATGTCTGCCATCTGATTAAAAGAAGAGAGGAGAGGAGAACTTTTTAAAAGCAGATAAAGACATCTGACAGCTCACCAGAGCATGACCGCAGGAGCCGGGCCTCCTGTATATAGGATGCCACGCTAGGTACTATCCCCGTCTTCATACCCATACCAAATGAGCACGGCCTTGCTGTCAAAAATTCTAAAAATACAGAAAAATCAAAACTCCCCCATGATCATAATCTGCTGAACCTTTCCCCTCCCAGCGCTATCAGTTGGGTATTCTTCCTTTTGGAAATATTTGAACATATAAAACACAAAAAGTCAAACACACAACCCCTCCTTCCACCTCCTTTATGTATAAAGGACATTGGCTGGTGGGAAGGGGGGCAGCAAAAGAAATCAAAGAACCCTGGAGTGGCTGGAGAATGGCCAGCAGGGGCAGGGACACCAGTGAAGAGATCTAAATAAACCCGGTGTGGGGGCCCACGGGGGCCCACGGGGACACGACCAGAGTCGTGTTTTGAAGAGACTGCCCTGGCTGTTTCTACCAGGGCAGTGGTGCCAAAACGCAGCGGGCACTCCGTAGGTACACGTGGACCTGCCGGTGCCACACACGACGAATGGCACGTGCTGGGAGCAGGGGGCGGGGTGCGGCTGCTGAGAAGAGCAAAGGGCCTGGACTGGCCTTGGAGACCCCAACTTTACTGGGCAGGCAGGGGAAGAAGAGCCTGCAGAGGAGATGCAGAAGGGGCAGCCAGAGGAGGCGAGAGGAGACACGGAGAGCGAGAGGTCACAAAGCCAGGGGAGAGACGGAGGTTAAGGCGGCGGGAGCGATGGTCTGTGTGGAATGCTCCAGAGAAGTCACGAAACATGAAGCCACAACACCACGCACTATGTCAGGAAGAAGGCCAGTGGCCTGGGGGAGTGATGGAGACACAAGCAGCCAAAACGGAGTGCTCTAAGGAGACACAGTCAAACGAGGGAAGGGAGAAGGTGTGGAGAGAGCGGTCTTTTGCCACATCTGGCTCTGGAGGGGAGAGAGAAAGCACAGTGGGGTGGAGGGCACAGGTGGGATCAGAGAAGGGCAGGGGACGATGCCCATGAACCCAGCAGCTCTGGCCAAGGGACTGGTGACTCAACCAAACGACTTCAGTGTCCGGTCTTGGTCGGGTCTAGGGTGCGGAATGGTACAGATGGCTCGCGGAGATTGATAGCTTCAGCGTGTAGACAGGAAGTATCAGCTGGCATTTTTGGGAGGGGGGGGAGGGGCCGTGCTTCCGCTGTGACTGAATTTAATCCTGGTAAGAATCTGATCAGAGGTGCACTCAGACTGAGCAGAAGCGGGGTTAAGTACCTCAGTCAAGCCTCTTGTTACCTGGAAATGACAGAATCAACAACCGAACCACTGAAAGCCAGAGATTCTCATGTGTTGTCAAGAATCACCCACATCACATTTTCAGGGGCGCCTGTGTGGCTTAGTCGGTTAAGCGTCCGACTTTCGCTTGGGTCATGATCTCGCGGTTCGTGTGTTCAAGCCCCGCGTAGGGCTCTGTGCTGACTGCCAGCTTGGAGCCTAGAGCCTGTTTCAGTCTGTGACTCCCTCTCTCTCTGACCCTCCCCTGCTCACGCTGTCTCTCTCTCTCTCCTAGAAATAAATAAAATATTAAAAAAAAAAAAAAAAAAAAAAAAAAAAAAAAAAAAAAAAAAAAAAAAAGAATCACCCACATCACATTTTCTAAAGTGCTTTTAAAAATAACAGACACTGGGGCGCCCGGGTGGCTCAGTCAGGTAAGCATCCAACTCTTGGTTTCGGCTCAGGTCGTGATCTCACAGTTCATGAGTTCGAGCCCCACATCAGGCTCTGAACCGACACATTCTCTCTGTCTCCCTCTCTCTCTTCCCCTCCACTGCTCACACCCTCTCTCTGTCAAAAAATAAACAAACGTTAAAAAAAAAAATACAGATAATGGTCCAGACTAGAGCCGCTAAATTAGAATCTGGGGCAAATGTGGGTCCTTTTTCACAAGAGTCCAGAGGCTTTTAATGCCCACCACAAACCAAAAACTACTGTAGGAGCTGCATTCCTTCCCAGCCATCACCTGTGCCCCAAGTTCATGGTACCAGGTGTGCCCCTGCCCCTTCGGCTCCAAATCCACCCCCACTGCAGTATCTCGACCTTGTCAGGTGGTACAATGACAAGCCTCATCAGCAGAGGGCGCTGGAGAGTCACAGAGGAGGAAGGGGCTTGGGCGCCTCACTGCATGGCTGTCTCCATCCTTCTTTCTATCCTTTCTACTTCTTCCTCTTCTCCTCCCTCCTTCCCTTTTTCTAAGTGGCCAGCCAGTACTTCCCCACGGGTGGCTTCTTCTGGCACTCTCCTGGAGAGGGCAGCTTTCCAGAGAGTTCTGTTGCCACAACACAGCTAATTTCTCCACCAGCCTGTGGGCCACAGCTGCCTCATCCCCAGTGTGGCATCTGGGCCTTGGGTGACTCTCCAAATGTGTTTCTTCCCTTGCGTGCTCTACGTTAACTGTGGAGGGAGCGGCCCCTCCCTGTGTCTGCCACCGCTGTATTCTCCAGACTTGTCTCTACGCCTTTGTAAGTAATCCTGTTATACTCCATCATTCTTCATATTACACTTTCCCTGTTCAATTCACCACGTGCTTTCTGTCTCTTGGCTGGATTCTGGCTCACAATAACACGTCAGGCCACAGGCAATGCAGACCTTAGAAAATGGACGGACATGTATACACAGCGAGCTATTCACGATGTGTGTAAGATAAAAGGCAGATAACAAGATAATGTGCATGTTACATACATATACATTCCAAATGCTTAAAATTAACGATCTGTGGCAGTACAGTTATGCGTGTTTAACTTTACATATGTCTGCATTTTGAGTCTTTTTTTTTATGGTGAGAAAGTATTATTTATATAATTTAAAAAGAAACAATTTCTACATAAATTTAATATTCATACAGATTTTCCCATAGTGATAAAACATGCCACCCGACTGCTTTCTGGTCCAGGTAAGACGAGACTAGCATTCTGTTTTCCAGTCTCCTTGAGCCCAAGCAACCCTGTAGGCCCGGATAAAGCAGCTATTGGGCCGGCCGTGCGCCAGGCACGATTCTCGCTTGCCAACATAAGCCACCCCTTAGGAAGCTAAGAACTTAGCCTGCTCCCCGCCATGGCTGCAGCGCACTGTGTTCTCACGGTGTGCGAAATGAGGCAGGCAGGGACGGCTGGTGACACACACAGCTATATGGTAAACGTGCTGATGTGCTCACCCGAAACACCCTCACCCAACGCTGCGGGCTGGGCCCTGCCCCGGGACCCGAGACGGCAGGGTGAACAAGACACCCTCACTCATTTGTCCCCTGGAGACTACCGTGTGCCCACCCCCTGCAACGGCAGGCCCAGGGGAGCAGGGGGCAAAGAGGGCGGGGGACTTAGAGCCTGCGCCGTCATCCTCTCCCACATATGTCCTCTCACGGCGGACGGAACAGACAGGACAGAGCAGACTCCAAAGTGGGCACCTCGTACGTTCAAGACGACCGAACACCCAGGCCACCGCCAGGGAGCGACTTATCTCCAGTTAAACAGAACTCCAAACAGTCCTACTTAGAATCACAGACATGCTATGCGGGTGCAATGGCTCTGTGTTCAAACATTAGCCAGTATTTATTACCACAAAATCCTTTTAAAATTTAAAACAATTTTTTTCTTTTACCTATTTCTTGGGTTCGCCGTGGTGTAAGAGGTAAGCCTGGGAGCTCATCTTGCCCAGAAGTATTTTCCTCATCTTCACTGTCCACCGTATGGGACAATGGAAGCTTTTTGTTACAAAAGACAAAAGAAAGTGTGATGAATGCCATTTGTATCAAATTTCCTCCCAACCATCGTGAGCGTCTTACTGCACACCTCCTCCACCTCCTCGCTGCGACCTCCCACTCTGATGCAGAAGGATGACACCCGGCAGGACTGGATGAACCGTCGGGTCCCCCCACCCCCCGCCCCGGGAAAAGCCTGGTAGCGAAGGCAATGCCATCCAAATGGTGATCAGGCCCTGGAGAGCTTCCCCCCCCACCCATGCAGCCCGGGCAGCCCGTCTTCCTCACCTCGGGGGGCTGCACCTGGCCTGCTCGGCACGGCACACAGAACTACCTCCCCGGGTGCTGATGCTGGGTTATTCATCTTTACGTGGGGCGAGCACTGCCGACCCGCCCTGGGAGAACCCTCGTCCAGGCCACCGTTTAGGATCAAGGTCCATTATGCTTGCTGCCCGTGAGTCCACTTTAACTGTGGCTTCCTGATGGAATGGAACCCTCCCCCGCTCTATCCGTGAGGGCGTCCTATGGAGGTGTCATGAGTGGCGGCCAGGCTGCAGAGCTGACCCTCACAGACATGCGGGCCAGCAGGGGGACGACCTCATGATGAGTTGGAGGCAGTCCCACCGGCAGCAGAGGCTGCTGGAAGGGGAGAGCGGTGACTGGGTCTTCTACAACAGGGACGGGCGCCCTATGGGCTGGGGCCCCTTCTGCTCTCCCGATTCGCCTGTGGAATCTTGCCCATGTGGTGGGCTGGACTTTTCTGTGCTGCAGGCCACGGGAGGGCCAGCCCAAAGCCTGACAGAGAAGTGGCGGCACTGACAGGCAAGATGTCCACGAGAAGGGGCATTTCAGAGCCAGGAGTCAAGGCCGTTTGGCCCAGCAGGCTCTGGGAGCAGGGCTCCAAGGTGACCCAGCTCAGAATGCAGACACGTATCCCATGCTACTTAGCTTTTGAAGGAAAAAACTGAAATGACTTCTTGGTTTTTATCTCCTGGGAACCGACGGCATTGTTTACCCTGTCAAAGATCTATTAGGTGACTATTATTGAGGAGATAGGAAAGTGCTAAGGGGCCTCAAATATCGGCCTCCCCACTAGTGTCCAAGTGCTAAAGCTGACTCCTTGCATTCCCTGGATTATACCCGTGCAGATATACTCACTGGGCATCTGTGAGCCGTACAGGCCCACCGGAAATATGCACATGTACATACAACTATTTACCACACCGCTGTTCCTGAGAGCCCCGGACGAAACAAGCAAATATCTAGCATCAGTGAAACGAGTCAGTCACTGAATGTTAGCATTGCACGATGGGGCATCACACAGCGGTGACAGCGGGCCAGCTACCGCCACACACAACAACAGAAGACTCTCAAATGTTGTAAACAATACATAGAGTACTGACGAAATTCATCATTTTCAGAGGAGGCAAAAGTAATCTAAGGTAATTTAAAAAAATTTTTTTTTAATGTTTATTTACTTTTGAGAGAAAGAGAGAGACAGAGCATGAGTGGGGGAGGGGCAGAGGGGGGAGACACAGAATCCGAAACAGGCTCTAGGCTCTGAGCTGTCAGCACAGAGCCCGACACGGGGCTCGAACTCACAGACTGCAAGATCATGACTTGAGCTGAAGCTGGACACTTAACGGGCTGAACCACCTAGGTGCCCCTAACGTGACTTTCTAAGAGTTAATCTGCTCTGTGAGTCAAGGCAGTGGTGAAGCAGTGGCCTCTTCTCAGTCACGAAGGGAAACTTCTGGGGTCCTAATAATGTCATTCTTTTCTTTTTATTCTGGGTGGTACCTGCTGTGTAAAAATTCACTGAGCTGCACGTTTATGGCCTATGTACCTCGGTATTTCATTCACTGATAAATAAGCCTAAAGAATTTGTGACAATATCCTAAAAGTCACTCTAATTTAAAGGTATGAATTTAAATCATTTATTGAATTCCTTGGTAATTAAAGCAAAACTTCTTTGAGTACTGGAGAAAGGGAAGGAAGAGGCGGGCCAGCCCGGTGGGAGCACGAACATCAGTGATGGCAGGAGCGCTCTTTCCTCATCTGCCTGCAGCACCATACCAGCCTCCTTCCTTCTCCTCCTGGGTGGCCCAGCACCCCAGATTTCAGAGAAGAAAGTGTACATGCTATAATTACTAGGGTCATCACCGGGGGGAGGGGGAAGTATAATTTGCAAGCTAATAAAGGGAAAGGAATTGAACTGAACAAATCATCAATTCAAAGAAGGGAAGACAAATTTTAAAAAAGAATAAAGGAACAAATAGAAAAAACAAAAATGGCAAAGTTCAACTCAAATATATCCATATATATCTTAAATATAAAAGGACTAAACGCTTTGGTAAAAAGACAAAGGAAAAATTGGGCAAACCCGCTTAACAAGAACCATATGCTGCAGTGTATAAATGGAGGAATCGTGTGGTATATGAGTTGTATCTCAGTAAGCTTGTTTTAAAAAACTATATTCTGTTTAAAGGGCGCCTGGGTGCCTCAGTTGGTTAAACCACTTCGGCTCAGGTCATGATCTCACAGTTTGAGAGTTTGAGCCCCACGCTGGGCTCTGTGCTGACAGTTCAGAGCTTGGAGCCTGCTTCAGATTCTGTGTCTCCCTCTGTCTCTGTCCCTCCCCCATTCATGCTCTGCCTCTCTCTCAAAAGTAAATAATAAAACATTAAAAAAAAAAAAACCCTATACACTGTTTACAAGACACAGATAAATGTCAGGATAGGGAAAGTTTGAAGTGAAGGATGGAAAAAAACAGACCATGTGAATATCAAAGAGAAGAAATGTGGAGAATGTCAGACAGAATAGATGTTAAAGCAAAACACATTTTTAGAGATAAAAAGGTTCACTTTATAGCGACCAAATTTTCAATGTATCAGGAAGATACAGTTTTAAGCTTATACACAAGTAACAACGTGGTTGAATGTAAAAGAATACATGTTCTGAGATTTCATGCAGATAAATTTCAAAAACATGCACAAGTGATCATGATGTCAGAAGCCCTCTATTGCTCGGTGGAGAAAACCTGCCAACACAGCAAGGGAGCTGCGCGTGGATTCCTGTGTCTTCGACAGTGAGGTGTCTGTGACACCCACCTAGCAGGGTAGAGTCCCCACCATCCCTTGGCCTCCAGCAGAGATAACCCAGATGACACAGGGCCCAGCCCATGGGGCATGGCCACCTTCCCAGATGCCTCTCATCACCTCAGTGACGCTAAGGAAAGAAGCCCATCCCAGTGCATTACATGGTCATCAGAGGTAGAGCAACAGGCAGGTCCGGCTAGCCCCACCCTGGGGGAGGTCAAGGCAAGGGTGTGCTAAGAATATGCAGGGAACCCAGAACTCATTCTGGAAGGGGCAATTCTGTTCTGCAAGGTGGGAGGGCCTCTGGAGAGCCAACAACATGCTGGACGAAGGGCTTGCGAATCCATGCCTCCCCACCTGCTGCGTGGAGGGGACCCCACAGCGGAAGTTGGCAGGGCTCACTCTCTGGGTGGCTTCTGCACACTCCATTGTCTGGAGTGACGACTTGGCGCCTAACTTGCTATCCCAGCCTCTCCTGCGACTGATGGGGGTGAGGCTCGTGCAGAGGAGCTTGTACTGGTAGAGCAGAGTCCATAATCCACATGCACATAAACTAACGGGGCTACCCCTGTCTGCACATCCATGTGTAAATGCAGAGGCTGCAGGAGCCTCACCACGGCAGGCAGGCAGTGCTGCACTGCCCACTCAGGAATCAGCACCCTCCTGTCTCCCTTGATAAGGGGTTCCTGATTTGGCTTGGTGCAAATTGACTCAGCCCTAGGGTATGATGCATGGGAATCCTCTTCCCCCTAGCCAGTAACTGGGCAAGGGAAGGGCATGTGACCAATGCGACTTCTGCTAGAAGATTTCTGGGGGAAAAAAATGCCTTCCCTGATAAATATACAGCAGCATAATGAGAAGGCCCTTGCCCTACTTCTTTTCTGCTTTGGGACCAGGACCGGCTACACCCACTGGTGGCCATGAAAAGGAGGCCAAGGGATCTCAGGTGGCAGCCTTCTATAGGTGTTTGGAGCAACAGTAGAGTCTCCTACCCTTTGCCTTTGTTAGGGCAGAGAGTTAAACATCTATTATTTAAACCTTGTGTTCACCTATTCCATTTTTGCAGCGGAAAGAACGACATGGATGTCGAAATGGCCACAGGGGCTGCCACTGGAGAGGAGAGGAGGGTTGGAATAGGAGCAGCGGGGTTTCAGGGCAGGCTGGTGCTTTATGCACACTACCCACAGTTTTTAATAAGAAACATGTATTCATGCATTACCTGTGTTACAAAAAGAAAAATGTAAAGAACTGAAAACCACGGAGAGAGAAGGGGGGCATTCCTCATCCTCGACAGCAGCAGCAGCTGTAGAATGTCCACCAGTCCCTGGCCTCCAGAAGTTTCTAGAGAGAACTTAGTTTACTCCTGCATGAATGGGTCCTCTCTGGGCTTCCATCCAAGCACATGGCAGACACTCAAATATCAGTTTGTTGGTAGGTGGTTGGATGAATAAAGGAACAACTGAGTGAATACATGGTACTTCATGACGAGATGGTCTGCAAATCCACAAACACAACCACAGCAAGGATGATGACAGGAGAGCTTCAATAACATCCTATTTGTGATTTCTACTCAAACACGGTAACAAGGCATTTAGACTACACTCTCCTCTCTTAAAACCTACTGAAAGCAAGCAGAAGAATGAGGGGGACAAAAAAGAAAAAAAATAAAGCTAAGTCAATGGCAGAAAACGGCTACCAAATCTAGTAAATCTGGAATAGAGGGAGAATGCCAAAAGCTGCCGAGCCTCTTCAGGCTTCAGGGACGCAGACCCTTGTAAAACCACAAAGCATCACAGTCACAAAGGTCTACAGTGAGGCTCCGATGGGTGTGACGAGAGCAAGGGTGCGAATGGGCCCAGGAGAAGCAGTCATTCCCACAGGGCAGAGGCGAGGGGAGAAGGATCTAAAGGGACACCCCAATGGAGAGCCCACCTTTACTGTCCAGAGTCCAGCCTCTATTCTCTCCAAGAAATGAAGGAGTACACACTGACATCAAGAACCCAAAAAAGAGATACATGAGATCAAGAAATGTGATAAGGTAACAAAAGATGTGAAAAATAAATTGGCAGAACTAAAAACCAAAAGGAAAAATAAAGCCAAAACAGAGGAGGTAAAACCTGTACTAGAAGCAACAACACACAGTGACAGAGCTGACAGAGAGATGAGGAGGGCAAGCAGAGGAAATCACAGAAAGTGACAAGTGACTATAGAAAACATAACAGACGTGGAAGACAAACAAAAGACGGCCGACAAATGTATAACTGAGGTTCCCAAAGGAGAATGAAACAAATATATTTGATCAACATAGGGAAAGGAAATGTTCCCTGAAAACAAAAAAAGGAGAGGAAAATCTCTGTCTGCAGAATTAAATAACAAACTAAAGTTCAGGAAAGAAGGACCGAAATTCATACACACCACAATTAATTCTGGTGAAGTTACTAAACTGTGGAGACAAAGAATGACCCTACCAATGTGTCAGGCAGAAGAATCAAGTGACCTCAAAGGGAGAAGCAAGCAGTGGGAGCTCCTTCCCGTCCCCTGGCTGTTTCCCTTGGCGTTCCCCTGACATGTTCTCACACCACCCTGTACCTTTCCTTTGTAACGTTTATCGTAATGTGGTCGTTTAACTAGTGATGGTGTGACTGTTGACTCTGCCTTACACTGCTTCTCCAGCACCCAGCACGATGCCTGGTGCTCCCTGCCCGCCTGGTAACTGTACATTAAATTACTGGCCTGCACAAAGACACGGTCCTCCCTACCTACCACAGTACTTTATAGGATGGAGAAACGGAGGTGCAGAGAGGTTATCTGACTTACCCAAGCCATACGACTGGGAAGGAGAGAAGCAGGGACTTGAGCTCAGGTCTCTGAATGCCCATGGCACTGTTCTGTCCACTGGATGCTAGCATCGCACGAACTGACCACAAATTCACGTACCCCACTTCCCCTGCAGCCTTACTTTTGGGTGGCACCAGTAAGAAAACTGCTGAAAACAAGACTTGCTTTCCACGTTAGGCCATTTCTGGGAGGGTGCACACTTCCCATGAAGATGTTTGCCCAAACCACCCTGAAACACAGAGAGAGGTGTGAGGTACAGATTTAAATACAAATTGCCTGATGTGGGTTGCTATTTCCTTATCTTTTTAGTTTTCAAAATTGTTTACTTTAAAGGAAGTACGAATGACTCATAAAAAAGGATAAAACTGTAAATTATTTACCTCGGATTACAGACTGTAAATACAGAGAAGGCAATGTTACTTTTTTTTATATTAAATGTACCCCACTGGCAGTATCTCCTTCAGAGCTGGTGCCACCTAGTGGTGAAATAGCAGTTTTACATGCTTCACACACCCATTTTTTTTTCCCCCAAAGATATATATATTAAATGCTCAGGAAATGTCAACATGTCTTTCTCCACCTATTGTCTAACCCCTGCAGACCTCCCCCACCAAAAATACCTAATTGTAAGTCTGTGGGAAATTGAAATCCCTTTCCAGCTTAAAGTGCCCTTTCTCATGCCATCTGCGATGGGCCATGACAATGTACAGGCTACGATGAGCTCTTCCAATTGCAGTCAGTTCCCAGAACCCCACCTCTGGTTCCTGGGTTGTGCAGGCAAGGCTTTCCTGTTGGCTGGGATGTACAGAAACGTGGTCATTAGGAGGCATACGTTGCTGGTGGGAAGGCAAAAGGGAAAAAAAACTGTTTTGGAGAACAATCTGGCAATATCTGTGTGACCTAGCACACACAGGTGCATGTACCAAAGGTGCGAAGAAATGACCGAAATGTTCATCAGTAGGTATGTAGATTAAAAAATTAAGGTGGAGTCATCTCAAAACTGCAACACTGAGTGAAACAGGGCAAGAGATGCAATGCCTGGTTTAGGATGGTGACCTATTTGCTACATATATATATTAAAAAAAAATTATACTGTATTTGTGTGCTGACACTTATTTGGAGAATAAAATAGAGAATAAAAGCACAGACTTTTAGAATGTATTCCAAGTCCAAGAGCAGATGGCCTTCCAGGGTGGGAGACAAAGACGATTTCAACCCTAACTATAATTTCAATTCTTTTTACAAAACTTGAAACGAGAAAAGCTAACAGGATGGCATTCCTTGCTCATTCTGGAGAACGAGAACACTAATGTGCTGTGTTACTTTCTGCTTTGCAATGTTTTTCCTTGCTGGAGGCTACAGAAAATGCACATGTTCAGCTTTAATATAAACGGAATGTCAAAGAGCTCTCCAAACTCATACCAACTCACACACCAGCCAGAATTAGGGTTCCTCTACATCCTCACCAACTCCTGAATATTGCTAGCTGTCTTGCTCTAGTTTTCGAATTTTAAATGGAAACCATTGTTTTCCTTTTGCCCCCAGGTCCCGAGGCAGCCATGATAGACATACCCACAAAACAGATTTGATTTGCTCAGGACACAGGGTGGTGCCTGGGTCACCATAATCTCCCTCTTCTAAGCAAAACAGGGTAGCAAGCTTCACGTCCCCAGGTGGCTGAGGGATACAACTCTATCTGTAGCCTCGGTGCAAAATGCCGGCCGGAGAGTGTGCAGATGGAGGGGCGGCGGCACCTGCCCTGGGCCCGCTGGGACCCACAGCAGAACCTCCTCTGGGCTCGGCAGCCAGCTGCCTGCCCCAGGGCTCCCTGCTGTAGAGAAACCCCACTGCGTGTTACAGTCTGCCTGTGTTTGCAAGCGATGGTTAGTTCATGAAATGCCCACAAAAGGATTCCTCCAAGCAGGCTCCCTAGGGCCACCGAACACCTGAGTCAATACCATGAGGGACAATCAATAGAAATATAATCAACAGGAATATAACTCGATGCTGCAAATCTGTATATAGAGTCACTCCAAGTACCACGTGTCCTGGTGACGGCAGAAAAGAGAAAAGAAAAAGAAATCACAGTGCTGTCTTTTGCTGCGAAGGAAAGGGCACTATCCAGTTCCCCAAGCCCTGGAACTGAAATCGGAGCAGCTTGGGCAGCGGTGGATGAATGGGGCCCCTCGATCTCTCTGTGCCTCGGTTCCCACCGTGTGATGGGGCCCTAAATGCAACCTACCCTCTGCAGCAGCGGGTACAAGGGCACACGTGAGCCTGAAACAGAGACTTGCACAAGGTGAGTGCTCAGAGAATGCCAGCTACCACAGAGACAGACGGCGATGTTCCTGTCATCACGCATGGATTTGAGGAAAGGTTGCAACATGCACGGTGATACTGGAGAAGTGATCGGAAAAGTAGCTCTAGGTATGGAGTGGGCGGCAAGGAAAAGAGCACGCTTTGCTTTCTTGCCCTGGACGCGAATCTGCATTAAGGATGCGAAGGTGATCATTTTTGGTCTCTGAAGGACCCGTCTTTGGACGATCAGGGAAAGAGTTGGAGATTGTGGCGTCAGCAGATCAAAACCGAGACTGCCCGTGTTAAGAGAAACCAGCCCCAAACAGAAGTCATTACAAAAAAGAGAAAGGCAAATCCGTACTAATGCCCTCTACACAATTTTACGGTAAGTTAGCGTCAAGGTGCAGAAGGAATTCTGGAATGTGGCAAATACCTGATTTCTGTGGGGCACGGCATACACAGCGTCACCGACACCTCCCTCTTCTCGGCAAGCGCTGACGTCATCGAGCTCCATGCAGCTGGACGACAGGTGCGTGTCAGAGTCCTCCTCCCCGTAGCCCAGCATTTCAGAGGACGGCAAAGAAGTTCTTCTTGTCTCATTCTGCCAATTTGGTCTGTATTACAATGTGGAGAGCAAAATAGATAAACAGGCAAGCAGGTCACTTCACATTTCATGTTGGTATTAGATGCCCTGCCTCCAAGTCCTCCCCATAAAATTATTACAGCTGTGTTACAAAATATACAGAAGCTCAAGGATGAAGTCATCCACTAGCCCATCTCTTTGTACACTCGTAGCATTTCTAGTTTCCTACCTAGGTTTTTGTAGCTCTGTTCACTGCATACATGTACAATCTGCCTCACTGGTAACATGTTTTTAAAGTCAAAACGTTAAAAGATCACACTCAAGGAGATACACCAGTTTAGTCAGCCACTCCCTGTACTTATGGTTTTTTCCCCTCAATTTTCACTGTTGGTTTTTTCTCTTTGTTTGTTTTTGTTTTGTTTGTTTTGTTTTTTTTAGTGAGCTCTATACCCAATGTGGGGCTCGAACTCACGACCCTGAGACCCAGAGTCAGCATGCTCTACTGACTGAGCCAGTCAGGCACCATCACCACCATCCCTCCCCCCACCAATTTTCACTGTTATAAGTAACTCTGTAATGAACATCTATGTGCAGATAATCTCTTCCTTATTTAGGATTAGTCTTATGAGCCGAATAACTGTATGGTAGACTGTTGAGTCAAATGGTATAACTATTTGGCGGGTCTACAAACATATCGCACAAAATCATTTCACCAACCAACTCCCCAGCCTGGGACTACAGTAGTAACAGTTTTCCAAAACTTGCCAAAAGAGTGTAAACCTCACTGTATAAATCTGCATTTCTTACTGAAAAAATACATTTCCATATATTTGTTTTATATACTTTGCTTCTGGTTTACATACATACAAACTACATCTATAGATAGACAGATACATTTATATACTTTGCTTCTAGTATGTCCATTCCAATTCAAAATTAACTTTTTTATCTACAAAGTTAAAACCCCGACTTTTTATTTACTGTGAATACTTTTCCTATTCTATTAACTCCATTGTGGCTACATAAATTTTTTTAGCAAAGAGATGATTAAACAACATTTTTTTTTTTTTTAACCTTCTAAGTTATTAGCTTAGAAGTGCACAGGAGGCGTCTCCTTCTGAGAGGTTTGGTAAGACTGGCATAGGATTTCATGGTCCTATTTACGTGTACGTGCAGATTAATCCTTTCATTTAACAGGAATTTATTTGATATATGAACTGGGCAAGGCTTGAAGCTGAGTTTTTTTCTCCGATTGCTAATCACTATGCTGTCAAATCCTTTCCTTCCCCTTTGCTCTGTGGGGCTGCCTTTGTGACACAGTCGCAGGCAAACACCAGGTCCCCTCAGGGTGTCCATGTGCACTTCTCTGCCATGGAACCAGTCCTGTTTTTCTACTTCAACTATGCATATGACGTGGTCGGGTGCCTGGGTGGCTCAGTCAGTTAAGCACCCAACTCCGGACTTCTGCTCAGGTCATGATCTCACAGTGTGTGAGTTCGAGCCCTGAGCAGGCCTCTGTGCTGACAGGGCAGAGCCTGCTTGGGATTCGAGTTCCCGCTCTCTCTCTGCCCCTCCCTCGCTCGTTCTCTATCTCCTTCTCAAAACAAATAAAAATAAACTTAGGAAAAAATACGATAAAGTATGATGCAGCTAATCTAGCCTTCCCCCAGAGTCATATTCTTCCTTTCTGGATTTCCTCTGGTGGTCTTATCTGCTTATTCTTTCTAGTGAAGTTGGGGATTGTTTCCTCATCTTTAGTTCTCATTCGGCTAGAGTAAAATTCTTACCAGGAGAAATACAGGCTACCTTCAAACATCTCAAAATGAAATCAAGATTAGAATGTGAAAACCAAAAACATAAACATGTCCTGGAAGGAAGTGAGCATTTATATAATAGGGAAGGTCTTTCTAGATTTCACAATACTGCCAGAAACTACAAAGACTGATAAGATCTTACTTCACAAAACATATACAATATTTGGCATGCAGAAAAACTTCCAAAAACAGAATTGAATAAACACAACAGATAAAAAGGCAAATCTGGTCACGAATCCCCACCTCACCCCATAGGCCCTTAAAGCCCTCAGCGTCTTTCTTTCTTCCTGTTCCTCCTAAGTCAGAGCGGGCGGGGGGGGGGGGGGGGGGGGGGGGGGGCAACACCAAACCTCAGAACAGGACACCTCAGTTACCACCAGGCTGGCCCCTGCCCACCCCTCCAGGCCATCCTGAATGACTCCCCACTTCACCCGCCACACACATCTTCCTTTAGCCATTCCCGTGTCATGCTCCCTCTTCTCTGTCTTGAAAGTTCGTTCCAGCCCCGCACTGACCGTTCCCCCCCAAACCCTTGAGCCGCCCCCAGGAGCTCCCTGCACCTCCCTCAGTGCTGTCCTCAACGCCATCTTCCTCAGGAGGAAACCACCCAGCCCTATGCTGGCTCTCTGTTCAAGCAACAGAGAAAATGATGCTTGAAGGTCTAGTCTAGGTGCCAGTGAAGGTAAAATCAGTGGGACTGTTCAGAGAAGAGACACACGAGAAGTGGTTGGTGACAACAGTCATCATCTAGGCTGTGGCACAGAGAGTCCTGTGAGGGGCTAAGGGCAGCACTGAATTCACTGGCTCTGTGCAGCCATGAAAATGACCAGGGCTGTCACAAGCCATAACTGAACAAGAGCCACTCTAGAGAAAATTTGGATACAAATCAAAAGCAATCAATGCCCCAGGCCAGTGTCTCTTTGACACTGGTGATGAAAAACCTGAGTCCTCAGCGCCAGTCATACCCACACACACACGCCCGCGCACGCGTGAGCCGTTGCTCCTCGGCCCCGAGAAGCAGAGGCAGCAACAGGGCCCTTACTGAAGCCTCAGCTCTGAGGTGGTGGCATAGGGCTGGATGAAACTGTCCTTTTCCACGCAAGTCGTGTCACTCTCAGACAGGGATCTCTGACGAGGCTGAGGAATGGCAACAGTCCGGCCGGTCAGTGCTGTTGTGAGGATGACTGCAGCCAGGGCAGACCTAGGGACAAAAACATCCCCGTGAGAAGGTGGGACCCAGACCTGCAAGCTGAAGGCTGACCAACAGGGCCTAAGCATGAATGAAGGCTGACCTTCTGTTCTGTAACGCTTGGTGCGTATCTATGGACCACGTGCCCGCCGTCTGGGATGTGCCATCAGGCAACCTCATTCCATTATCACACCAACAGCTATTAGCGTCATCTCCATTTTTTCATAAAATATAAATGACTTGCCCAAGATTTCCGAGTTCATAGGAGATATGTCTCAGTACAGGTCTCTAACCCAGGGGGTCTATATTCAAGTAGTTTCCTATTTAAATGAAAGATCAGAATTGAAAACAAAACAGGGAGATGGAATAAGATAAAAAAAAAAAGGGGGGGGCGGTGCCTGGGTGGCTCAGTTGGTTAAGCGTCCGACTTCGGCTCAGGTCATGATCTTGCAGTTCGTGGGTCTGAGTCCCGCTTTGGGCTCTGTGCTGATAGCTCAGAGCCTGGAGCCTGCTTCAGATTCTGTGTCTCCCTCTCTCTCTCTCACCCTCCCCTGCTCACCCTGCCTCTCTCTCTCTCTCAGAAATAAATAAAACATTAAAAAAATTTTTAATAAAAAAAAAAGAATAAGATAAAAAAGATTTTAAAAGGCATTTTAGGGGCGCCTGGGTGGCTCAGTTGGAAAAGCATCCAACCTCGGCTCAGGTCATGATCTCGCAGTCTGTGGGCTCAAGCCCTGTGTCAGCCTCTGCGCTGACAGCTCAGAGCCTGGAGCCTGCTTTGGATTCTGTGTTTTCCTCTCTCTCTGACCCTCCCACACTTGTACTCTATCTCCCTCACTCTCTCTTTCAAAAATAAACATTTTTTAAAAAGGCATTTTAAAAACACTTGCAAATTATTCAAAACTATGCCACTGGAGAGACAGAGTAATGGATTTACCCTCCCACTTGAGAAAGCAAAACAAAACAACAGATTTACAATTATGTCAGCTTAATTCCTGAGAGAATTTCCAGGTCACGGCACAGGGAGGAAGAACTGAAGTGCAGCCAGGTGGACCTCCTGAGTTGTGGAGACGGAGGTGAACGTCCAGGAACAGCACAGCAGACAGAATTTGCAGGGCAGAGTATCGGAAAGGAGAGAGCTAAACAGAGAGAGCTCCGGAAATCTGCAGAAGGCCCCCTGAGTGTTCACAAAGTTTCCTCAGTGCAGGAATGTGAGGAAACTATCCAAGCCTGGGGGAAGAATCATCCACAATGACTAGGGGGTCAGTGCCAGGTGCTTACACATGGCTGGGGATGATGCTTGTTCCCACCAGACAGATGGGAAACAGTTATAATCTACAGGACACTGGGTACAGTACTCGGAAAGGAATAATTGCCTCTGGGAATAATTAGCCCTAGATGCTTCAGGCCGTACCTAACGAAGCATAAAAACAAGACCTAGAAGATTAAATCAGTCTCCAAGTAACTTAACGGTATCCAAGAACAAAATTCCAGAAGATTTATAGGAATACAAAAATATCCAACGCACAAGAGGTAAAACTTAGAACAATGCCTAGTATGTAATCCAAGATAACCAGGCACACAGAGAGACAGGAAAACATGACTCTAAATGATGAGAAGAATCAATAGAAACCCAATCAGAACTGAACACATATGTTAGAATTAGCAGAGGACACTGAGACAGTTGTTATAACTCTATTCCATGTGTTCAAAAACCTATGGAGAAACATGGGAGATTATTTTTTTTAAGTTTATTTATTTTTGAGAGAGAGAGAGAACCAGTGGGGAAGAAGTAGAAAGAGGGAGACAGAGTAACTAAAGCGGGTTCTGTGCTGACAGCAGAGAGCCAGAGGCAGGCCTCAAACTCACTAACCGTGAGATCGTGACCTGAGCCGAAGCTGGACGCTTAACTGACTGAGCCACCCAAGTGCCCCGAAACATGGGAAATTATTAAAATAAGACTTGAATTTCATAAGCTGAAAATGACACTGGATGAGACAAACAGCAGAAGAGATGATTAGTAAAGTTGAAGGCAAAACAAGAGAAAATAACCAAAATGAAACACAGAGAGGAGAAAATAATTAAAAAGAGAAAAGGGCATCGTGAGATATGGAATTTAAAAAATGCTATCGTTTTATGCTTTAAGCCACTGAGTTTTGGTGTAATTGGTTACACAACAGATAACAAATACAATAATGCATTTTGTCAAATAGTGCTGGAATGACTGGATATCCACATGCAAAAAAAATGAACTTGAATCTGTACCTCCTACACTATATTCAAAAACAAACTCAAGATGAATTTTTGACCTAAAGGTAAAGCCCCAAACTATAAAACTTCTAGAAGAAAATATAATAGAAAATTTTTGTGGCCTTAAGGTAGGCAAAGATTTGTTAGATATGATACTGAAATGATCTGTAAAAGAAAAACAATTGGTGTGACAAACTTCATAAAAATTTAGAAACTTCTACTCTTTATTTAATGGTTATTTTTTTAATTTATTTTGAGAGAGTGTGAGAGAAAGAGAGAGGGAGAGGGAGTGTGAGAGAGCAGGGAAGGGGCAGAGGGAGAGAGAATCCCAAGCAGGCTCCCCGCTGTCAGTGAAAAGCCCAATGTGGGGCTCGATCTCATGAATCATGAGATCTTGATCTGAGCCAAAATCGAGAGTCAGACACTTGACCAACTGGCACCCCCACCTTGTGCTCTTTGGAAGAATGAAGACAAGCCATGTATGGGAAGAATGTATCTGCAAACCTCATATTTGGTAAAAGACTCGCATCCAGATATATAAAGAACTCTTGAAACACAGTAAGAAGAGCACACACAACGCAGTTTTTAAAAGCCCATGATAGGGGCGCCTGGGTGGCTTAGTCGGTTAAGCGTCCGACTTTCACTTAGGTCATGATCTCGCGGTTCGTGGGTTCGGGCCCCGCGTCGGGCTCTGTGCTGACTGCCAGCTCAGAGCCTGGAGCCTGTTTCAGTCTGTGACTCCCTCTCTCTCTGACCCCCCCCTGCTCACGCTGTCTCTCTCTCTCTCCTAGAAATAAATAAAACATTTAAAAAATAAATAAATAAAATAAAATAAAATAAAAGCCCATGATGTGAACAGAAGTTCCACTGGAGAAGATATACAAATGACAAATGCACATGAAAAGATGCTCAGTAACCTTGGTTATCAAAAGAAATGCAAAAAAAACCCACAAAAAAACAAAATAAAAACAAACAAAAACAAACCACAATTGGATACTACTACACACTCATTAGAATGTCCAAAATGTAAAAGATTGGCCAGGACGACCCTTTCCAACCTAGGCCTGGCAGAATGGGTCCCACAAAGAGGGCTGGTGAGAAGGGCCACTCTGCATCCATGAGGCAGCGACCGGAGATCATCCCGCCAACATTCACCAATGCCTCTGCAGAGTGAGCTTCAAGAGATAGGCCCCCTCGGGCAGAAAGATCCAGACAACTGCAAGGAGGGAGCAGGGAATTTCAGATGTGTGCATGGACTCTGGGCACAAGAGAGCTGCCCAGGCCGAGGGAATGAGGAATGGCCCATTCGGGGTCAGCATGCAGCCATCCAGGAAGCATCAGGAGGACGGAGACTCACCAGACGACCTCTAAACATTGTTATCTGTGCACCTTTCCCCACTTTCAAAATCCTGTAGCAGGCAACATGAGTTAGGACTAATGTCAAGTAAATTTATAAAACCACTCTCAGACACACACACACACACACACACACACACACACACACACACACGACTGACCAAACTAAGTGTTGGTGACGATGTGAAGCAACTAGAACTCATACAACAATGGTCAGGACATAAATGAAATAAAAACTCTGGAAGACAGTCTGACAGTTACTTAGTAAATATACACCTAGTATATGACCCACCTCTTCTATTCCTAGGTGTGTTTCCGAGAAAACTGAAGGCCTATGTGGGAAACAGAGATTTGTGCACAAATGTTCACAGCAGCTTTATTTCTAAGATAAGAAAACCCCAAAACAACTCAAATATCTCTCCCCAGGTGAATGGATTATTTGTTGCTACTCAGCAACAAAAAGGATGGATGACTGAATTACTGATTTTCACGACAACATGGATGAATCTCAAAATAATCATGCTGAATCAAAGAAGCCGGCGTAATTATCTTGTGTAATTCCACTTATACAAAATTCTGGAAAATGCAGATGAACCTGAGGTGACAGAAGGCAGAGCAGTGGCTACCTGGGGACGAGGTGAGGGTAGATTGGGCAGAGGCACGGGGTGTGGGAGAGGACAAGGAGGGAGGAATCACAAAGGGCCAGAAGGGGACCTTAGGGGACCATGGATGGATTTATTATCTTGATCGCAGTGATGGTCTGGTGCATAGAAACGTGTCCTGTATGTTTATTACCCCTCAATAAAACTGATTAAGTAAAGGTAAAAGGCTGCTTAAGGCAAAAACAGTAAGAATATATTGTGGGACTTACAAAACATGGATCTAAAATGTATGACCAGGGTGTCTGGGTGGCTCAGTTGGTTAAGTGTCCAACTCTTGATCTCAGCTCAGGTCATGATCTTGTAATTCCTGAGTTTGAACCCCGTGTTGGGCTCCATGGTGGCGGCACTTGGAGTTCTCTCTCTCTCTCTCTCTCTCTCTCTCTCTCTCAAAATAAGTAAATAAACTTTAAAAAAAATTAAAATGTATGACAACAGTAACGACGAAGAACGGGAAGGGAGAAAGAGCGGTAAACGGCTATAAGATTCTGGTTTAAAAATTTTTTTAATGTTTTATTTATTTCTAGGAGAGAGAAAGAGACAGCGTGAGCAGGGGAGGGTCAGAGGAGAGGGAATCACAGACTCTGAAATAGGCTCCAGGCTCTGAGCTGGCAGTCAGCACAGAGCCCGACGCGGGGCTCAAACCCACGAACTGCGAGATCATGACCTAAGCGAAAGTTGGACGCTTAAATGACTAAGCCACCCAGACGCCCCATTGGCTGTAAGATTCTTACACTATTACACTCCCTGTGAAGCGCAGTAACACCTAAGTTTAATTTGAACGCCATCCTTTACTTCTTAAAAATGTAGAAATATGCCAAAGTTGCCAAGCCTTGCTGAGGATGGAATGAAATAATGCTTCTGAAGCACTTACAACAGTCTTCAGCAAGGGTAAACACTCACAAATGACTATTCTTGTTATCAACACGGTACTTAAGGAAGAAACAAACACTAAAGATATTTCAAAGTGTTTTTTACTCAGGAAGCATACAATATTCTTGTTTCAAGGAACACTCAAAGGTTCTCACTGCTAATCCACTGGTAACAATCAAGCCATGTATCCACGTTTTTTTATGGATAAAACATAGTCTAAAATTTTCCTGTGTCTAAAGCCTTAGAAGGCACAGGCAGGAGTCTTAGGCATAAAAGAAAATCAGTTCTCTGGTGTAAGGAGCACCGGAAATGGAGAAACCCCAGGCCCTGGTGAGTGAACACACTTCTCTTTCTTTCCCCAAAATCAGCTCTTTTATTTATTTTTTTAATGTTTATTTCTTTATTTTTGAGAGAGAGAGAGAGAGAGCATGCACGGAGGAGGAACAGAGAAAGAGAGAGAGAGAGAGAGAGTAGAGAGAGTGAATCCTAAGCAGGCTCCGTGCTACCAGTGCAGAGCCCAACGGGGTCTTGAATTCATGAACTGTGAGACCATGACCTGAGTTGAAGCCAAGAGTTGGATGCGTAACAGACCAAGCCACCTTGGAGCCCCCCAAAATCAACTCTTTTAAAAGGCAGACTTGTGCTTCAAAAGAAAATTTATGTGCATAGTTGAAATTCCTTTCAGCATCCTATAAAGTTGGGCTTTAAAGCTTTCTATTTGGAAAAATGCTAATTGCATTCAATTATGAAATGTGCAAACTCCATACACCTGAAAAGGACAGACCATTATCCCACAGAGAAACCATGTTAATTGCTTCATTATGGAAGCATGACAAACACTTCAAAGGACATGAATCTAATGGCCCTACTTGTGATTTTCTTACCAGTTTCAACAGCTCCAGGACCTACCACTGGGCGGCTGAGCACAAGGGTCACCTCAATGCCTGCTCACCTGAGACTCACCTTGGTCTCTCTGGAGAAGGGTTAGGGCTTCGGGGAGGAGGTGTGCGGGGCACAGCTGGCTTCGGTGCGATGCTGGCTGCGGGCAGGAGGCCGTGGACGATGTGTTTCTGCACAAATGAAACCCAGCCGGGTCACTGGTGTATGGGATCACCCGACTCCCGTCACCACCCCTCCTTGGGCCCAAGAGGAGACACCTGCACTGGCCACCCCGGGATTGAACCCCACCAGGAACCCACCTGGCCATGGAGACACGCCCACCCAGAGAACACCACTGCAGCTGCCCACTGTGGGGGCTCTCTCGTCTTTCCTCCTCAGAGGGGCCTTCCCGACACTCCCTCACAGTCACCCTCTAGGACTCCACTTGTCTCACAGCATGACCCCCGATTACTCCAGTCCCTCACTTGCTGTCCCTCGCAGAATGGAAGCTTCTTGAGGGCAGGCAATCTTCTTGTCTTTATCAACCCTGGAACTCAAGTACTTCCCTCCTTACTCAACATCTGGTAGAAGCTTAATAAAGATTTCAGATAGTTTATGTCAAAGATGCAGAACAATGAAAACTAGCCCCTGCACACAGTGGAAATCAGAGAATCTGGCTGTAGGCAACTGGCAATCATTCAGAAGTTTCTTTTTAAGTTTATTTATTTATTTTGAGAGAGAGAGAGAGAGAGTGAGTGCGAGTGGGATAGAGGGAGAGAGTCGGGAGAGAGAATCCCAAGCATTGGCAGTGTAGAGCCCCCTGCGGGGCTTGAGCTCACAAATCGTGAGATCATGGCCTGAGATGAAATCAGAGTCGGACATTTAAGCAACTGAGCCACCCGAGGTGCCCTGGAAGTTTCTGAGTATAGCCCGGTCTTCACTTTCCAGGCACTAGCCATTCACTCACACCTACTAGAGGCGAAACACCAGCACTGCAATGAAGAAACCTTGTCTTCGTCCTCAAGGTAATATAGAGGGGAGACACCCAAGTACTTATTACATAACATGGATTTATGGAAAGTGCCAAGGGAAAGGGAAAGACAAATTTGGTGCTGCGGCGGCACAGGGCGGGAAGGGCTCCTTCGGGTCTGGAAACCGGGGTGGAGACGGAAACAGCTGCCAGACATATTTGGTGGGTGGAATCTATGGAACTTGGCTGATGGGGCGTGCGCGGCGGGGAGTGGAGGGAGGAATCTTAAGAACGATTTCCAACTGGGGGATTCAGGGGAGTAGGTCTGTGCCGGAAGGAGTGCTCCCCAAAAGTTGCAAAAGTTTCAAGGGAGACAAGGCGACTCCTGTCCGACTGAGGCCGACCCTGGGATAGAGGATGCTTTAGAACACAAAAAAATCAGGGCTTCTCGAACGGAAAATCATTTCCTTTGGTGCTGCTACCTGGCCTCAACCTCAGGCCAAATCCCAAACCACTCCCCGTTAACTCCTGGCCCCCGGAATCTACTTACAAACTGGCCCTTGCGGCCTCTGCGAAACCCCAGGAGCATCCTTACTGCCGGGAGTGGCTGGACCAGGGCTGGATGGACGTGCAGACAGCCTCACAGGCGAGGGCCGCTCCCTAGGGCTTGTGCCCCTCCCGCCGGTCGAGCCCCAGACGCTATTTTACGCAATGCACTTTGCAACAACGTCGCCTGCCATTGGCTTTGCTTTCTTCTCGACCAATCGGAGCCACGGTTACTCCGCGCCCGTCGCTCTTGGCAACCAGCTGTCCCCCATTCAAATTCTCTCCGGGGCGGAAACGGTGCATGGTCAGTTCTCTGATTGGCCAGACCAGATGTCGATCTTTGACGCCATAGCCTATCCGACACCGTGGGAGGCAGAGGGCGGGCAGGATGAAAAACTGGTCCGCTAACCGAAGGGAACCCGGAAGTGGCGCGCCACAGGTAAAGGGGCCGGAACCTCTGGCTGTGGCGGAGGTGGGGTCCAGGAGGGCTCGGTCCCCGCCCGGGACCGGACTGAGGAGCTACCGCACAGACCGAGCGGGCGTATCAGGACCCAACAGGTGACGGAATTGAGGGACGCGGCTACCAGAACAGGAATCTCCTGGGTCTTAGACTTTAGGAAATAATCCAGTCTTTTGAGGAACACTGCAGATAGGCTCCTACCAAAGAGGCCCCGACTTCGAGTGGAACGTGGGGCCGTGTGCAGGAGAGCCTGCTCAAATGCCGTCTTCTGTTTTTCTTATAGATCGAGGCAGGCGATGGCTAGGAACGGGCCTGAGGGCACAGGTCCCATGCATGTGCCTTTTGGGCATATTGTGGCCAACCAGAAGTGGCGCGGGTCGCAGCTTGTGCAGGGGATGCAAGGTCAGTGGGCTGCCCTGTGCAAAAGGCCTCTTCTAAACTTTTTAAAAACGTCCTACCTACTGTCGCCTTTCACCCAGCGCTCACGGAACTCATTTTTCTTGTCTGTCTTCTAAGGGAAAATTAAAATCGTTTTTGAGGATGGCCTGACACCGGTAGATTTTTACGTGTCAAGCAGATCTTGCATTGTTTATGTCACCGAAGCTGATCTGGTGGCAGGAAATGGCTACAGAAAGAGGCTTGTTCGGGTTAGAAATGTAAGTACTGAATGGAAGAAATTGAAATTGAAAATTGACTTCCATCCACCACCACCCCCACCCCCCCCGAAATAATTTATATAAAGCCATTGGCCATTCCAAGCACACTGGACTGGTAGTTTTCTTAACTCTGCAGGTAGTTTTGTTACACAGTGGTTTACTGGTTTTTTTCCTTCCTCTGAAGTCCAGTAGTCTTCAAGGGATGGTGATAGTTGAGAAAACACGGATGAGTGAACAATACTTCTCAGCCATACAGAAGTTTACTGTGCTGGACCTTGGGATGGTGTTGCTTCCAGTGGCCAGCCAGATGGAAGCCTCCTGCCTTATTATCCAGTTAGTAAGTGCTGATTCCTACTCCTCTGCAGGAGCCCTGCCTTACAGATGCTTACCTGACATTCCTGGATCTTGTACTCTAGGTGCTGCGCTTGTTATGGTTGCAATCCATCAATCCAGTCTAAAGGAATCTATTCACCCTTGATCAACTGCAGCCAGAAGCAGATGATCCTTTTTTTTTTAAGCCTAGTTTTCCATTGTCCTCACTGATTATTAACTTGGTTGTACTATTTAGACTTGGCTGTACTTTAGAATTTCCTGAGAAGCTTTTAAATGTTTATTTGTTTTTTTGAGAGACAGGATCCAAAGCGGGCTCTGTGCTGACTGCAGAGAGCCCAGTGAGGGGTTTGAACTCACGAACTGTGAGATCATGACCTGAACCGAAATCCCACGCTTAACCAGCTGAGCCACCCAGGCGCCCAAGAATTTCCTGGGAAACTCTTAAAACAAAATTCTTTTCACATTTATTTATTTTTGAGAGACAGCACAAGCAGGGGAGGGCCAGAGAGAGGGAGACACTGCAGGCCCCCAGCTTTCGGCACAGAGCCTGATGGGGGGCCTCAAACCCATGAACAGGGGATCGTGACCTGAGCCAAAGTCAGACACTTAACCAACTGAGCCACCCAGGCAGTCCTCTTGGGAAACTTTTGAAAACAGTGATACATGAGCCTTACCTCAGACCAATTAAAAATCAGAATGTCAGGGTGGGACCTAAGCATGAATTTTTGTTGTTGTTGATTTAAAATTTCCCTTTTGATGTGTAGCTAGGATTGAGAATCAAACTGAAATAATGCAGGCAGCCCCGTGTAGTTCACAGATCCCTCTTCCATCTGTGCCGCATCCCTTCCTTCACTGTTCTTCCCTTGATGTAATGTGATTGTCTGCCTTCCAAATTCATTGCTAACTGAAGACTGGGTTTCTCTCCTCTGACAGACAAGCTTTCTCCGGGTCCTGTATTAAGCAAGTCCCTTTTCGGTTTAATTTAATCCCATACAATTGAATCGTTTATTAGTGAACAATAGAAAGATGTTTGAATTCCTCAAGAGTATGTTCATTGCTTACATTGCTTTATCTTAAGCATTCTGGAAATTTAATTTTTAATACATTTTTCTCTCTTACTCCTTTATGTACTCATATGGTTCGTTTTTCAGTAATTTTTCTGGGGCGCCTGGGTGGTTCAGTAAGTTAAGCATCTGACTCGATTTCCGCTCAGGTCATGGTCTCATGGTTCGTGAGTTCAAGCCCCATATCAAGCTCTGCGCTGACAGTGTGGACCCTGCTTGGGATTCTCTCTCCCTTTCTTGCTGCCCCCCCACCCCCCGTACGTCCCTGCTTGTGTCCTTTCTCTCTCAAAAAAAATTTTATTTTATTTTTTTTTTTTTAATTTTTTTTTAATTTTTATTTATTTCTAGGAGAGAGAGAGAGAGACAGCATGAGCAGGGGAGGGTCAGAGAGAGGGAGTCACAGACTGAAACAGGCTCCAGGCTCTGAGCTGGCAGTCAGCACAGAGCCCGACGCGGGGCTCGAACCCACGAACCGCGAGATCATGACCCAAGCGAAAGTCGGACGCTTAACCGACTAAGCCACCCAGGCGCCCCATCTCAAAAAAAAATTTTAAAAAACAGTAGTTTTTCTGATGTCTGAAAAATCAGATTTGTGGTATATGAAAACATTTGTAGTGGTAAGTCAAACTGAACCAAATGGAAAAAAAGTAAAACTCAATTTCCATTAATGTGTAGAAGAACTGCCGGTCCTCTAGAGGGCGCTCATGTGCTTTTCCTTTACTTTCCCATTAGGTTCAAGAACAAACCAAAGAGCCCAGTAAGAACCCTTTCCTCAGTAAGAAACGGACTCTGATCCCTGAGCTATCCCTCCTTCGAACTGTGCAGCAAATCCCAGGAGTTGGAAAAGTTAAAGCCCCGCTTCTGCTTCAGAAGTTCCCAAGTATCCAGCAACTCAGTAACGCTTCGGTCGGAGAACTGGAGCCAGTGGTTGGCCAGGCAGTAGCACAGCACATTCATGCCTTCTTCACACAGCCCGGGTGACGGCTCTTCCCACTGCGAGGAGCCACATGGTTTCCTTCGCATATTTAAAATTGAGGACAAGGAAATCTTTCGCTGCAACTAACAAAAGATGAGGTGAGGCCTGAATGGAAGCTGCCGGTTGCCCTGCCCTGTTCTCTGGGTTCAGGCGTTTAAGACCGTGCAGTTAGCAGGCTCCAGGTAGCACGGTCCTCATCATGCTAGTGAAAGAGGGCCCGTTGGGAGGCACCTGGCTGGCTCATAGGTAGAACATGCCACTCCTGATCTCGGGGTTTTGAGTTCGAGCCCCACATTGGGTGTACAGAGTACTTTAAAATAAAATCTTTTAAAAAAAGAAAGAAAGAGAGAGAGAGAGGGCCCGTGGGAATGTTCCTAAGAGAGTTTAAATAGGGACTCTCAAATTCAGCAAAAAGCCAGCCTGGGCAGACTTTAACATACCTTGACCTTGACTCGCATGGAAAAGTCTAATCAAGTTTAAGGAGGTAGAAGTGACCTTCTAAAGGAAGCAAACCTACAATGAAGTGCTGTGCTGTGTACCGTAAGCCCCTTGTTCCTGGTGGCAGGCCTAGTGTTCTTTCTATCGCTGGTTTGAGGGTGCTGCCAGTGTAAATAAACAATTGTACAGCCTTTCTTCTTCCTTTCTTTCCCCTCCCTCCGTCCTTCTCCCTTCCTGGTAGCTACAGTTTGTTTATAGCCCCTGAGCATGCCTTCTGAACACAGCCTGGAGTGGGGGGTCCCCTTTAAAGTTAAAAAGCCAATGTGTGTGAGAGGGGTAAAGAATGTGTTTGCAAATATATAGCCCAACAGTGGGAAGGTATATATAGGAAAATGGCAGGGGCAGATGCGTCCAGAGAGGAGAGCTAGGGGTGGGGATCCAAAGGTACAATCGACCACTGAGAAAATAAATGCAATTAAAGATGCACATATGTTTCCAAAGATGCTGAAATAACTTGAAAGCTCCCTGAGACCTGTTTTGCGAAATGTCTGTCATAAAACAAATATAGGAAAGTTTTGTGAATTAGGGTAGAAACAGTCTGAAAGAGGAGTGACATATAAGTGGAAAAAAATTTGAAAAAATACTAATTCAGGCAAATGAATGTGTTTATTTAAATATTTATACAAAAATGGGCCTAACAGCAGTGGATAGATAACACTTTCCCAAATGTGGCTACTTCCCTTTTGATATTGCACACTAGAAAATATTTAAGTTCTTAATTCTCAAAAACAGATTTCAATTTTTTTTTGTTTTTTTTTTTTAGCTATAGAACTTCAACTATGTCAACCGTGAATCTTAGTAGAATCACGGTGTCATCCAACTTGCAAGCAAGAGAAATTGACAGGTAAAAACAAGTCGAACAGAGTTTTAACCTAGAATCATTTACACCTTTGCCTTATAAAATGTTTCTAACCCATCTTAAAGACTCTTAAAATATACAGTTATATACTTTCTACTTTAAACACACACAAAAATGTTTTGAGTATCAAACAGTACATTGTCTACCTTGTAGATAGCTTTCCCGTCTAACACTGCCACCGTGTTAGCAACTGGTTAATGACATCAAACTAGAAGCAACGATGCTCCCAGATCCTGTGGTTTTTTTTTTGTTTTTATCTAGTAAGTGATGACAGATTTGGCACTAGACTTCATCTGGAAATAGCATTCTATTATGCAGAAATCGTCGTAAAATCTTTTCATTTCAGGTTCACAAATTCCCCTCAGGAAGCAGTTCTCCGGAACACTTCTCAGTTATACTAACATAGTCAATCATTACAGCCCCTTGACCTGCCTTCACTGGGGGTCGTTGGAATTCTGAGTTAAGGAATGATCTGTTACCCAAGCCCGGACACGGTCACGAGTAGGACAGCAATAGAGGTGACCCCCACTGAATTCTGATAGTAACCATAAGCCGTAACTAGCCGTTAAAAATAGCCATATTTGCAAGGCTGTTCTATTTACAATACTATATATAATAAATAACCTGCAGCAATATTGTAACACTCCCAAATTTCTAGAGGTTTCTTGTTACTTGCATTCACGAAGACCTGCCACCTACCAATTGTACGTTTACCTGGCGAGAAAAGGGGACTCGCGATTATTTAGACGCTTTCTATTGTGGCACAACTAGGAAGGCACGGTCGGCACCAGAGACACTGGCATTTGGAGCCCCTTTGCTCCCGTTAGTACAGAGAACTGTCGGAGTTGAGAAGGCTGAAGGGGGAGGGGAGCTTCTTCTTGACCTGTGGCCTCGCGACCCCCACTGACGGGAGGCACAAGGTGCTGGCCGACTTCTGTCTGTTCTTGTTGGTGCCCCAACTCAGAAAAGAAAGCTTCTTCGAGATTTTCTTGGTTTTATCAGTCTTGTCGTCGTCGTCGTCTACGGCTAAGCAGATCATGGAGTAGGTTTTCTGCATGCCCACAGAGTACGTCGCACACTTACTGTGCTGCGGAGGAAAGAGGAAAAAGGGTGCTAGAATCCTCCAGATAGCGGATAAATGACTGCTGGCAAGATTCTGCTCTTGCAGCATCCTTGCAAACTGAGCTGATGAAATTCTGAAACCCAGGTGACAAGTGCTTACATTCTTCAAAACAAGGACAATTTTTAAGGAATAGGCTCAGTAGTAGTAATTTAGGCGACGGACCACTACTCACTTTTTAAGGTTCTTAGTCTTCTTAAAAGGAACACATACTCACGGTCAACAATATGAAAATGATATACCAAACAATAGGTATTCCTCCCACCTTGGCTTCCAGGCCTCTCCCCTGAAGTAACCACTATTTCTGTTATGCTTTTAGAGAGAACGTTGATAGAGAGGTATTGATGTGTTGCATCTATACGTCACCATGGTCTTTTCCTTAAAGGGACTACATGACCCACTGTTCCACTCTTGCTTTCTTCACCTAACGTATGTTGGACTTCAGTCCATGCTAGTCAGTATAGATCAACTCTATTCTCTTGACAATCTAGAATCCATGGTGGAGATGCTATTAGCTTTTCCTCTATCTTTAAACTGATGAAATATACATAACAGAAAACTGACCGTTTTAACCATTTTAAAGGGTACAGGTGGATGGCACGAAGCCCATTCACACAGTTGTATAGCCATCCCCGCCATCCATCTCCTGAACCTTTTCATCTTCCCCAGTTGGAACTCTGGGCCCAGAGGCACTACTATTAACTTTTAAAAGATTGTGCAAGGTTCACTTAAGAAATCTGAAGATCCTTGTTTCCTGTAACCTTCCACATGGATTGTCACCTGCTTCGAAGGTTTGCCTGACATTGAGGTTGCTGTGTTCAAGTGTTGACTGAACATCTGCTAGGTTTCAGGCACTGAAATCAGGCCTTTAAATATACGTACAACATACCTAAAGCGGCGGGGCACACTGTTCATGATAGAAATCAAGAAATTTGAGAGATGGGATGATAAAGAAGGGTATTCACTCTGGAGTCTGGCTCCTTTGGATGAAGATGCCTCTTTTCTAGAAAATTGCCATTGGATCCCACCACACTCTACAAGACATACACACAACCCTCTGCTTTTAATGAAAAGCAGTAACAGTCGTGGATGTAGAATTGATGCCTGCAAACATTTTTCAACCTCACCCTGCTTAGAGTCCATTATCCATCTTTACACCCACTGCCTTACAGATTCCCTCTATCCTCCACTGTAGTCCAACCAGCAAAGGCCAAGTCTCGTTAAACTCTACCCTCTGCCTCACCCCCAGGCCTGCACCCAAATGGCTGCACGTTACTGGGGGACATTTACCGAGCCAATTGGCTTCCCTTGAAGTTCTTAACCCTGATCCCAAATCTCTGCTGGGCACCTCATTACCTGGCACTCCTACAGTATTCTAGCAATTTCATTCCTTCTAGAGGTCTCTCAAAGCCCCACACACGTCCTCCTGATACTCCTGCGTTACCCTAATAGCATCTGTCCCTAAAGACCAGTTCTGTGTGCCTGCATCTCCCCCGCCCTCGGGGTGTGCCCTCCTTCCTGTACTCCTGCTTCCTGACCCTTGCTATCAGCACACAGGCTTGCTGTGTTATCTACACACACCTATGCCGCCACCACCGCCTTTGAAAAGCTTCCCTTTTTCCTATGTCCCCCTCCCAGATCGCATCCCAATGTCTGCTCCCTTTCTGCCACTCCCCCAAATACTCCTGAGGCACCCCCCTGACTCACGGCATTAAGGGAGCCCAGTCCAAAACCACTGCACTCGTCCCACGTCATACCAAAGAGGAAACGGTCCTAAGGAGGGAAGTAACCCGCTGAAGGCCACACAGCTGGTTAGAATCAGATCAGAGAGAGCCTGATTCCAGGGCTAGGGTCTCTGCTCCATCAATAGGATTCCAGGTATGCTCTGCAGATGGGTGCTGGGGCTCCCCACTGCAATCCAGAGAGTGGGGGAGCAGGTTGCCAGTTCAATCGGAGCATGGGCTGTGCTGTTCTCATCATCTGGTTTTGTTTAAAGCAAAGGCAATTAACACCAGTGCTCAGTTGCCATTGTCTAAGGCCTTGGGGTGAAAAGAATAACCCTATCACGGTTATTATAACACCTATGGTGAATGGAAACTGCAGCCCATGCTGGCACCGCCTCCCCATTTTCCTGCAGCTCAGAACCATTTTCCTTGACCCCCAAGGTCACACGGCTGGCAGTAACGCCATTCCAGCAAGTCTGAGTCTAGAATCCTTGCTTTTCTGCCCCTACCTCAGCTCTTTCATGGCCCGGTTCAAAGTTCTCGTAGGATAGAAAGATAAGCCTTTCTCCTTATGCTGTGCCCCCCCCCCCCCCCCACCATCACGAAGGCTCTGGTCCTGAGCCCAGCTCATTTATTTATCCTTCCTTTGGACAAACTTCTTTTGTTTCTGGTTGGGACCCCGATCCCTTGTCCTGCAATGCCATGGTTCTGCCCCTAAAAACTCCATTTCTCATGATCCCTTCTCCCAAAATGCTCTCCGAGTCCCTCGACTTCATCTTCCTTCATTTTTAAATGGAGATATAAGTCACATCCCATAAAATTCACCACATTAACGCCATTCTGTGGTTTCGAGCGCATTCAGAGTTGTGGAGCCACCACAGGAGTTCAGAACATGTCCTTGACCTCCAGAAAGCAGCTCTGTACCTGTCAGTAGTTATTTCCCATTCTCTGACACCCCAGCCCCTGGCCACCACTGGTCTACACTGTGTTTCTGTGGATTAGCCTGTTGTAGACATCTCTTATCATGGGAATCACATGACCCATTCACCCTCGGCCCTCTAATCAGTTCTGTTGCCATCTCTCCCTGGAAAGTACTCTTTTGTCCTGCCGGCAAACAATAATAGACACGGCCCTGCCTCCCTCCCTCTCCACCTCTTAACCGTAGTCTACACAACCAACCGTTGTTCTCCGGCAGGATTTTATTTGCTCGATTCCAGAAGCTGCTTTATCCTATCTCTCTGAATGCTCCCTCACAACTTCCTTTGCACCCACGTCTCTTCTAACTGACCTCCAGAGGCCTGCAGCGTCTCATGGATTAGTCCTTGTCCCTCAGGCCCTCATGGGTAATTCCAGTTAGTCTCTGAACGGCTTTAACTATCATCTCTAGGTTGGTGATTCTCAGGTATTTCTAGGTCTGACTTCTCCCTTGCACTGCAGATTTGAACATCCAGCCGCCTACTTCACATCTGCATTCGACATGTGAAACATTCAAGGTACAACTCTGTTTTCCCTCTTCTCTGCCTCCCTCGTCCCTTGCCCCTGTTCCCCATCGCTACGAAAAAAAAATAGTGCCTTTGTTCAA